ATATGTTTAAGCCCAGATGAGATGAGCTCCCTTTGCTCCAGAAGAAAGGCAGAATCCCAAACGTTCTCTGGCCCTTAAATAGTTGATAGTTTATGATACCTCAGTCACAGGAAAAAGCATCAACCCAGACATCTTTTTAGACACCAGAGGTTACAGCCATGGGCCAAATAAAGGAACTGTGTTCTCACAATCCTGTTCCTCATAAGTAAAATATTAAGTACAATTCTTATTTTCCAGCTGTTTACTGTCAGACCAGAGGCAAGGGTAGAACATTTTGCCCAACTACATTGGATTTCCAGGCTTTTCCTTCAATGCAGGGTCATAGCATTCCTCTAGCCTGATAATTAAATTGTAAAATCACTGTGTACAACTTTACTACTCTGTTTGATCATAAAGTAACACAAATCAGACCAGCAGATCAATAATTGCATAACTTCAAGTATTAAAGGATAATTTCTAACCTAAATATCAAGACTTCAGTGTAATACATTGGAAGAAGAGAAGAAAAGAGAAGAATGCAGGGCAGCATCAATACAATATGAACAGCAAAAACAAAATAAGGAGAATTAACATTTGGACTACTCTAAACAAACACACACATTTTAAAAACCAGTAGGTTTATGAGGCTCTGAGCCTCAGAACTTCACATCCCAAGGACCATTTGAACAAAACTCTTTGCTGAGTTCATTAAAAGAGACGTTGAAGATGATTCATTCTCATTTCATTAATTACTGTGTAATTTTGAATCAATGTGGCGTTTAAGACCACTGTTGATGTTGACTTGCATTAACTTTTGCTAGGAGATTTCCATGTCATATGTATCTATAACTTCTTTAACAGCCTATGGCATTCTCTTTCTCAGATTTTTTTTTCTTCTAGTTTAATAGATCAGAAAGATTGTATTATATCTTTTAAATTCAAATAACTCCCCATGCACTCCTGAGGAAAATGAAAGATGATTTGAGCATTACCACACACTTATCACATGGTCTTTTTGCAATTTAAAACTTTTTAGCTCCTGGAATAATGTAGATAACAGCTTTTCTGTAAATTGAGGTCTGTTCTTGCACAGATTAGGATTTTACTTCTGACTTCAATAGGAACATGAAAAAATCTTTTTCATGGCCCACATTGCAGATATGTTAATACATGATTTCTTTCTTGGCTTCTTTTGAAGTTTTTAGGACATGGTTATTCAGGCTTAGGCCTGGAAACCTAGTTCAAGATTCAGTATTTATTTTATTTTCTTGACAGTTAGCTCTGTAATCTGCAATTCCAAAGTCAAAAATCACAGGCATTGAGACAGAGGACCTGCACCCATTACACAAAAGTCAACTGAGGAGGGCCAGAACATCAGGATACCATTTCTTTATGGGAATCTGAGATTTTTGCCACTGCTGTGTTTCTCCAACTGTGCCTGGACTTTCTCCTGTCCTCCTGCTTTCTGCAAACTATAGGAGGCATTTAATACTGAGTAGATTGCTTGTGTCCTCCAAAGAACTACTAAGGCAGCCGTTAGAAAATGCACACCACTAATTTCACCCAGATACTTCCAATTTCCCCATTGTAATACTCCCAGAAAAATGTGCTTAGCTTGCAGTGAGTGCATAGTTATGCAGAGCAAAAATTCTTTTTTTCTGTAAATGTTTCCTCCAAATGTGGTAGGTTTAAAAGAGGTATTTTCAATCAGAAATTAACGTTATCATAATGTACTTAGGATAAGATTGTAGAAATTTTAACTACACCAGTTTATGGTGTAAATACTAATGGGTTAATATTCCTACATAATGATGTTCATACACAGTATAGTTATAAGGCAGAAGTGGATATTACATTTTAATTGGTTAAATTTAAGACATCTTACTTTAAGCGGCATGTAAGAGACTTATCCCTTGCTATTATTCTCCTTGTATAATTTTACAGAAAGTCTGGCAAGTGCCTATTAGAAATACTTTCTCCATGCTTGCATCTAAATTTAAAATGTAAAATAAATACTGGCCATTTAAAAAAAAAAATATAACTAGCTGGTAAGCTTTAACAAATATCACTGCTTCTACTGTGAAGCCCACATTCAGTACAAGTAGGAGTCAGATGGTGGGGCAGTACATAGCCAGCTACAGAGACAGATTTTTTTAAAATTTCTTCAGTAAGTTTTGAAAATGGTTAAGAGTACCTTAATAGCAGAAACCCTCTTGTGTAAAGAATGCAGTGTTTAAAATTCAAGGAAGAAGAAAAATAAATTATTTGCTTTTACAAACAAAATAGATTTATTTGTTTTACAACATCTCTAAACTTTAGCTCTCTAATGTAATGTAATATATTGATATAGAGAATAGCAGAACAAACTAACCCATAAACAGATGTAGCCATGTGGTACACATTCCCAGCACAACACGACTCTGTTTGGGCTGGAAAAATCATATTTTCAATCAAAGCAGATTTTATTATTTTAGTCTTGCTCAGATCGCACACCAAGTAGGGCTTAGGAAACAAAACTCTGGTATGCAGAATAATTAATATGTCACAGAGTTGATGATGAAAAGATAACCGTTACATTCATGAGCTCTGGTGGCATCTTCAGGCAACCTGAACATGGACAGGAGAAAATGGGACTTTTCCAAGAACTGCTCTTTCATGAGGAAATATGGGAAAGGTGCAGCCACCACACCAGCTTCTCTTTGAGGAAAACAAGTCAGTCTTCTCCCAGCACTTCAGATTTATCTCTAGGACTTCACAACAACAACTCAAATTTTTTTGGCTGGGTAGTTAGAGGGAGCTTGGTGTCTCACAGCCTTTTTGGGTCCTGCTTAAAAATAGGAGTTTGCTCACTCTACGCAATGTATTTTTCTTACTCCATGTAATACCCAGATGTGATACTCTCACAACTCATCATTAATGTCTGTACAGCTCCCTGTGGCAAGGACATTGTACAAACTTCTTCTTGGTGTCTCAGTAAGTCACTTCTGGAAGGCTTTTTTTATTGATAGCTGAACATGGTGAAAAGTAAACATTACAGGTGAGTAAAAAACCCAAATCCAAATCCTATGAAACCAAGTTTTTTTTAAACACCAGGAGACATCCCAGCCATAAGCTTTCACATTTCCACAGTCCTACTGAAAATAAACTGCAAATTTGCATATGGTGCAGGACTAGCACAAGCCTGCCTGTTCTTGACAGTTAATCCACCTGGCCTTTCAGACATTGACAGCATCATGCAAAGAAAATAAATTACCCAAGATAATCAAATCCACTGTCTTCCTCTCAGCTCTCTCATCCATTTAATCTAATTCTCGAGTATTGACATTATTGCAGGCATAATGGGAACAGAAGTGCCTCATTAAAGGCAGCACCTGGACACGTTCAATAGTGTAGCAAGAGCTAACAAAGCGCTGACAAATGCAGCCGTGCTGTTAAAAATAAACTGACAAGTGGTACAACCAAAAATATGTGCTTCTCAAAACAACCTCTAAAGGAACGGTGGCTTCAGGTGAAGGTGCCTCGCTCCCAGGGAGGTTTCATTTTCATCCTGAAGTGCTTTGTCACCCCATGGCAAGAGTAAAGGTGAGCAGAGCCTTGGGCACAGTCTGAGCTGAAGATGTTCAGGTTAAAGGTGCAGCCTGCCTGCTGCAACAGTGATCCCCGAGGAAACAGAGCCAGAGTGCTCAGACTGACATAGGGTAGGAGACCCCAATTTCAACAAGAATATGCTTTGTTCTTGGCATGAGTGATCCTACCAGATATCAGATGAGCATTAAAATAATTCATTAAGCTTCAGTTGCTTCAGTGAAAAAAGCAGCAAATAGTGAAATAGGAAAGGAGGTTCACTTGACAAATAAAGGTTTATTTATCAAGAGGTGAAAAGATTTCAGTCCAGGATGGGTCTAAAACAAAGTAAAACCATGAAATACTTAATAAAAATTGATTATGTTTTATGTGTAACTCTTGATAACAGGTAATGTTTAAAGTTTGTTTTTTATTTGTGTGTGTGTGACTGGGCAACAAGAAAAGGCAGCAAAAAGAAAAGGCAGCCTTGAATTTGAGCCGTTTTATATGCTCATTATTTTCCACTCAAATAATCTGTAAGAGCTGCAGAGTATGTAGCCCCCAGGTCACTGAGAATTATTACAATAATTTAAAATGCAACTATTCATTCAGTATAAGAAAGTAGACTTTCATGGACAAACATTTCTATTAGAAAGTAGACCTTGTATTAGAATACTAATTGATTCATCCCCTGCTTCACAAAATTTATAATAATTAGAAAACTTCATTTCCTGAAGAATTCTAAAGGTGGGACACATTTTATGGTGTTAGTTTCATTCTTTCAAATGAATCCTCTGGGACACAGATTAATGACATAGAATTGTTATAGTAGTTCCAAATCAATACTTTACTAGTAGTGGATTTTAAAAGTCCTAAGCATTAGCCTCACCTGTTACCTCATTAAAGTGGGAATAATTACATCAATACAATAGACTAGTGGGTGTTTTCTCATTCTTTGCCTTTTGCTTAGATATGTATTGTGCTATTTGGTCTAATTTTCAGGTCCTCACTCAATACTGTATTTATTCTGTATTCATTTGATTAGCATTCCAAGCATTTCCAATTACTTTACTATGTCCAAAATAATATCCAGTCAGTGTGAATGTAATCAAGTTAAAAGTGGGGACATTTTGATTCATGCTGCATCCAGTTTCATATATCAATATATTACTTAAGTGGTAATGCTAATATTGGCTTATTTGTAAGGGTCACGTGTCATTGGACAAGCAGTTCAAGCATCAAAAAAATCTCACACCCAGACTGCTGATCAGAATTTAGCATACCTCCAGGAATCCCTGGATACCAAAATCTTAATGTGTTGGTTTTTTTTACTCTTGGCATTACAGATGCTGAAAGTCATTACAGATTACAATGTTGTTTAATCAGTGCTGCAAATGTTGCAACCACCCTCTGAGGTTACAAAATGTAAGGAAAATCTACTAAAAACCCCAACTTACCCAACATGGGCTCCAATACAGATGCAGAGGACTAAGTCCACAGAGGAATTAAACAATTTCTTACTGTGGGCATCCAGATTTTGTGTTCGAGGAGTATTTTCTGCAAGCTGTTCTCTAAAACAATTTCATCACTCTCTACCAGCCTGAGGATGGAGTCAGCTGATTTTCCCAGCTGATGAATGGCTCTATTGAAAGACTCAAGCTTTGGGTTAACAACTGAGCTGTTCCCTTCTGGGAGTAGCTTAAGGGCAGGACATGGTTTGGTGCCTCAGAGGTCTCACTGCTGCAGAGAGCACAAAGAGGTCAAGGCCTTCCAGGAGCTGATCCTGGAGGTGACAGGGCAGGTTTGTGCATGGGGACAGAGTCATACCAGCCAGTTGTTCCTGAACTAACACACCCCGTGCTGAAGCTACAAAGTCCCAGCAGAAAATTAATAAGAGGAGCACTCTGAAGTATAAGCTTTACAATAAACCAGCATGAATTTTAGTTTTGTGTTAACAGGTTTTGCTGACAGCCTTAACATTATAGACCACAGCAATTGATTTTGAGTGTTGTCATTTACTTGTTTGTCTCCAGCAGTCACAGCCCAGGTGTTGCTTCAGGTGATCTGAAATCCCAGTGACCACTGCTACTCAAGGGCTCTGGTAAGAAGAGAAGAATATGCCCTGCCCCAGACTTTCAAATGTATCACAGCTGGTTTAGAGCCATGAAATGCAGACAAGTGCTGAAAACCAAGGTCTTAAAGTGGGAATTTCATGTTCTCCAGCTGGGCACTGTGAACTGAAACAGGCAACATCACATTGATGCTTTGCATAATTCAAACAGAATATTTGCATTCTGATTAAATTATGACCTGCAATTAGCGGGAACTTGAAGAAGGCTTTTAAGAAGTAAATAGGAAGAGCTCCCTAGAAATTTGAGCATTTCTGATATTGTGCATTAACTAAACTTGTGCTTGGATTCCTATTGGGAATAACAATCAGCACTCTTTCTGTGCCAGTTGCTTACAGAATTGACTTTAAAGCTGTTTTCTCAGTTCTAATGCTACAATAGGCCACATGAGACCAAACTTGCTTATTCTCCCACTTACAGCTGCTCTGTAATAGAAACAATCAGGGATTTTTTTTCCCACTGGGTTTCCAGCTTCTTTCTGCTTGACCGATGAATGGAAGATAAACACTACATACTTTACGCAGTCAGACAGACTGTTCAAATGAGATGTGGGGGGAACTGTCCCAGAGCAGGCACACTCAGCACATATTCTTGACTTATAATTGGATCAACATTCAACATGTGCAGGAAAGAATGGCTATTACATTTCTTTGATTTCTCCCTCCTACAGATGCAGTAACAAATAAGAACTTCAGCAATAACAATAGAAAGAAAAACAACAATAGAGAAATCTACTCCATTTTTTGCCACATACAGATGTGTTCTCCTCTCCTAGTCTGAGCCTCAGTTCTTCCCATGTTCTGTAACTTGAGTGGAGCTTCCAGTGTAGTCACAGCAGATATGTGACATCAAATGGCCTCTTAGGGCAACATGTCTGTAACTAGCTTTAAGGCAGAGTTAAGAAAAAGGACAAGGGGTAAAGGTTTTATACTAAAAGGAGGTAGCTTCAGACTAGATAAAAATGACATTTTTATGGCACTGGTGAAACACCGGCACAGGTTGCCCAGAGAAGCTTTGGATGCCCCATCCCTGGAGGTGTTCAAGGTCAGGCTGGATGGAGCTCCAAGCAACCTGATACTGCAGATGATGTCCTTGTCCAGGGGAGGGGGGTGGACTTGATGACCTTTTAAGGTCTTTTCCAACCAAAATAGTTCTATAATTCTGTGAAAAAGTAAAAATCATATGCTTACATCTGACATGAACTGAGACTAGCATGTTCTAGGAAGAAAAAACAGGGTTTTTACTGCTAGGAGATAGAGGACTGAGACCTCTCAGCCTTTGCCTTCCTCAAAAGTTATCAACTCTTTAATCCCCAAAAATAGCATCAGGATTTGAAACTGAAATAGTCAAAATCATTTTCTCTCCCCTGCTTCACACCTTGCTCCAGTACCACTATATTTTACTACTGGCAACAGCATCAGGAAGGGTTTGATGTGTTCCTGTGTATCCCTCTCATCCACAATATTGTAGCCACAGGAAATGATTTCTGATGGCAGATGTTAAATTCTGTCTGAAGTGATTGTTAACGCAACCTTTGTTGGTAATCACATTCCCTAAGTGGCTCCCCTTATCCTAAATTTTGTAGAACAGTGTTTCCCCAGAGAAGGTGCTACCTTCATCTCTCTGAAAACTGCCAACAGGTCGTGCAGTGAGAGGGCAGATAGGAAAACAACATCTGCAAAACGAACACCTTTCACTTTTGGAAAGACTTGAACAATGCTGCTCAAAGGCACCCAGAATATCAAATAGAGAACACGGGTGGAAGTTTCTACCCGGGGTAGCTGGGATGGGTCAATCGCAAGAAGAAAAACCCAGGCAATCAGCAGTTACGGAGGTATGGCAGAAAAAGAAGCCATGGGAAGCGCTGCCCCGACTTTTGTCTGCCAGGGATCCCTCGCCACTTCTCTGTCTAGCATCCTTTCGCCCTGACACACTTGAAACTGAAAAGCGGGGCAAGCGAGATCAAGCAGAGGAGGAGCAGCAGGGAAGGGGCAACACTTTGAGGCTCCTGTGGGGGCTTGAGCGAGCAGCAGCGGGGGCGCATCCCTGCCGTGTGCCGCCCACGCCCGGCCGGGGGCGGGCTCGAACCCGCGGCGCGGCGGGCGCAGAGCTCGGCCGGCCGCCCGGCTGCTCGGAGCTGCCGCCGCCGCCCGCCGCGGCTCCAGGTAAGGCGCGCCCGCCCCGGGACCGCGGCTGCCTCCCTCCTCATCCCTCCCCCTCCGCTCTCTTGTCCTTTAAATTGCCGGTTTTTTAAAATATTAGTGTCTCCTCTCTGAGGTATCGTTATGCTGCTGGATTAAAATAACTCAGAATAATTCCAATTTCAATTAATAAGTTTTATCGAAGATGTGCGTCCCCCAAAAGGCTGCAAAACCTTGCTTTTAAAAACAGTGAGTGGCACGTGGAGAAACTTCTCCAAGAGAGATAATGTAAGAGCCAGCTCCCATTTTCAACCCCAATTCCTCATCAAATCTGCATCCCACCTCAAATGAATACAGAGGTGAACAATGCACTAGTACTTAAAAAGGTGTACAAAATTTAAAATAGATCACATTGATTAAACCTGTTATTGAGGACTGAGTAATGAAGAAAGGGAATATTTGAATTTAATGAAAGCATTTTAGTTCTCTAGAAGGCTCTTTTTTCTAGTTATTAAAAAAAATCCTATATACACAGTTTCAATGGCTATATTTATTTCAAACTTTATAAACAGGACTCTTAAAGGTTGTGCTCCATCCTCAACACTCCAGGCAATTCTAATTACCTGTCACAGAATAAAGTTAAAGCAGTTTGCGCTGAGGGAAAAGGAAGATCCTGCAACAGGCACTCACAGATTTAACTAATCTTCCCATGTGGTTGCTGTGGAAAAACTTGGAAATATATATTTTATTGGAAAAATGCCTCTTGCTTTCAAAGCCCCTCATGCGATTTCCTCTTAGACCAAATTCCTCACTACTTTGAGCTCAGCTGCACATCTCAGTTGGAATAACTCCTCTGACCTCAACCTTAGCAGGTACAAAAGCTTACAGCTGAGCCCAGGACACTCAACTTGGACAACATTCACATTTTTGCATGGCTGTAATCTTGTGATTATTATTTACAAAAATATGTAATTCTACTGAGTCATTTTAATTTTATTTGTACCAGTAAATTTTGAATACAAAAGCTTAATAGATTAAAAAAAATACCAAACAAACTGAAACTGCTCTGAAAACTGATTTTTTTCTTCCCAGTCTTTCATCCAGGAGCTGACTCTTGAGGTGACAGGGCAGGTTTGTGCATGGGGACAGTCATACCAGCCAGTTGTTCATCACTGCCCATAATGGCTAATTTGTAAATTACCTGGTTACAGATATTTAACAATTCACTAAGGAATTTGAGTCTAAGACCTTGGACCCAAACTGAGAAGTAGATATTTGGTGGCTAAGAAAAATAAAATTTTCTTTGAAAGGTTTCAGATATGCATAACAATAATCAAACCCAGAAAAGTCTGTGATTCAAATTCATAACTTGGATGGAAAAGAAGAAGCTCAGCTGGGGTATATTCCCTTCCTTCTTCCACTTTGCTCCCGAACTAACAAGAATTTGCAACTGAAAACAAAAGGAATTGCAGACCAAGGGGCTGTTCTCTGTCATACATTCAAAGGCACATTGCACAACATTCATTGAGGAGAGAAGATGGATGTGACTGACCCTAATCTGCTCCTGCAGGGCCCTTCTTTCCCCCTCCCAGCCTCAAGAGTGTGTTCAGGGACAGGATGAGATGCCCCTCATCCTCCCAGCCCAAGGCTGCATGGAGGGAAGCTGAGGGACATTAGCTGGATCCTGGGTAGTTTCTACAACGTGAGAATGTTGAGCAAAACTCAAGTCATCATGGTCTGTGTGAGGAGGCTTGGCCCCAGGTTAATGGCTAGAAGATTCTAGATCTGCTAACTCTCATAAGAAACAGTAATTTAAACTGGCACAGCAAAGACAGGATTCAATTTGTCTTTCCAAATCAAGTAGTTATTTCTTAATCTGAACCAGCATATCCTGTCCAACATTTTGGGTCTTCAACTATTTATCTTAATCATACCTAGGCTGATAGTGCCCAAACAAAACTGTTGCAATTTTGCTATATTATTATTTGCTAAAACCACGTTATTTATCCTGGTCTGTGTAAACAGTGAAGGTTTCAGTGCTGCTGTGTCTGCCTTCAGCCCACACTTGTGGGTGCCCTGTAAAACCTGGTGACCTAAAGTGCCTGGTGACCAGGCAGCTCTCAGGTCTCAGATGGTCGATGGGAGACCACCCAAGGCATGAGTGTTTGCCACCCTACAGCCGTTTGCACCTTCCTGCACAGTCAAAACCTTTCCGAAGGTCCCTTTGAGGTTTCATCCATCAGTTGCAGCCTCTGAAGGTTACCTACCTCTCTGACCCAATTCAAACACATTCGTTCTTTAAATTGCACAGAAACTGAGGGCCTATTGCAGCCACATGGGTGGGCTGTGAGTTCTGACTGTAAAACTGGTGTGGCAGAAGGTAATCCCGCTTGTCTGTGGGATTGGGGGTGGGAGGACCTTGGAGTATTGACAAACACCTTAAAAAGCCAGTAAAGGTCTCAGACTTGAGATTTGGATTTTGGTACTGGAGGACTCAAACGTTTGCAGACTTATGTAGAGGTCCAGATGCCCAGATAGCAGAACTGAGATGCACAGAGCAAAAAACTTTATGAAGTCTGTATGCACATAAACCCAACCATTAATAACCCCATAAACCTCTGATTTCTTTGGGTAATTACAAATGGCAGTAATCATCAGCCGTGACTCAAGCACCACTAATATGCCAGATTTTTGAGTGTCAGTTACCTAAAATCATGTTTAGAAACAAGGTGGAGAGAAGCTACTTAGTTCTCTGCCTTTTAAAACTAGAAAATACCCTGTGGGCGACGTTTTCTGTAGATTTTTCAGTAGATATAAGCAGAACTTGTAATGAGCATTACATTTAAGCAGTCACATGAACATGGTCATTTCTTATAATCTATTTTGTGAATGTTTATTACTACATCCATTTCTGTACATTGCTGAAACCTTTCAGTTTAGTGCTGTGCTGGTTGGGAACAGGACATCTGGCACTTGCTCCATGAAGGTAACTCCTAGAATTGTATTATCATCCCAAGCACTCATTTTTTATAAATCTGAAATGAAATTTCCAGCAAAACATTATAATGCTAACAGCATCCTTACCAGTTATATTGCAACTAATCCACAATATGTAGTGTATTTAAAATGCAGAGAGTGAAAACAACAACAGATAAACATATAAAATAATCCTATCATAGGTTATGTAACTTACTCTAAGGCTTTGATGTTCATGAAATTGATAATACAGGGAACTTGGTGAGAAATAAAGACCTCAATCCAGGGCACCAAATGTCTCTCATACACTTAATTATGTAAGTATTAGCAGCATATTGATAATCCCTACTCCTTTGGTGGCTAGAAGTGCTGACACTAAAAATTGTAAGGCTGTAACAATAGATTTGGTTGACTTCTATTCTGACCTTCCAGTGTATTTTGAGGACAGTGATTTTACAGATAAACTTGTACATTATTTGGGACATTGAAGTAAATTACTGAGTTGTTGCTTATATAGTCTGAAATCATGCTATGGTATTTTTCTTTTCCTAATAAATAAATTTGTCATACTGATTTGTTTGGGATAATTTTAAAGACTCTCATATAATGCCTATACCTATATAAACAATTTATAAAGTTTCAATTAAAACTCATTTTGCTATACCAGAGAAACAGTTTTCATTTCTGGTGCATCTTAAGTTCATTCTACTTATTTGAGAGTGTGAGCTTCTGTTGCTGAAAAATATCTTTGACAAAAACATCTCAGGGTACAGAACTTCAGAAGATGCTTTCAGACTGGAGCAACTTCTCAGATTTTTCACTGAGAAAATGACACTTCTCTTACCTGGCACACGTGACAACTGTTGATCAGAGGATCATAGCATAACTGGAACCCAGAGTTTCACTGTGAACTATTGGCAGATAGAGCAGCAGCAGAGGCCCAAGAGCCCTTCAGTTGCTGACATAACCCTGCCATACAGATGGCCCCTGAACTGCCTGGCTGCAGAGCAAACACGACAGGACAGCTGCTTTCCATGGGCCAACTACATCTGACTCTGATTACTTGCCCAAGGAGACTTGCATGGTTTTGCCCATGGTAGGCAGGATCAGATGTGCCTTAGGGTTCAGAAACAAGCTAGCTGGTGTGCCAAAAGCCAGTTGTCAGCCACATAAGAGGGTGCCCTTTATAACAGGATGCAGACACATGCATTTGTCCACTTTCATCAGTCAATTCCCCAGTTAGACCTGGAATTTTGCTGCCACTGGGTTTTTTCCCTTCTTTTTAATTTGCTACATTAAAAAAAAACCCTTCTTGATACTTTTCACTCAAGCTGCAGTATCTGCAATATTAATCCTAATATGAAAATAAATATTTGAATGTGTGAAAATTTTGCATTCCTTTCTCTTTGAGGGAATATTAGGAAGTACCATGAAACTACAGCCATTATAGGCAGGCATCCAAATTAACCCAAAGACATATCATGGCACTTTATTCCACAAAGTACTTTGTCAGTGACTACTGTCAGTCTGTCATATGCAGTTGGCTTTTCCAAGCTGTGGTGCTTTTGGCTGAAGTAGAGTAAATTTCCTTCACAGTGGCTAGAATGGAGCTGTGTTTTGGATTTGTGCTGTGAACACAAGTGTTGGTATTTCAGGGATGTTTTTACTGCTGAACAGAGCTTGCACAGGGTCAAGGCCTTTCGTGCTTCTACCAGCCCACCAGGGAGAAGGCTTGTTGCAAAAGAAACTGGGAGGGGACACAGCTGGGACAACTGACTGAAGGTGCAGATGCCCTCTACTTCCAAATCTTATCTTGTGACTGCTTTCCATATACCCTCTTCCTTTCTCCCACAAAGTCCTTAGTGTTTCCAGCTTTCCATTGTTTCCCTTCCAACTGGTTCATTTTGATCTAACAAACAGGATGAAGTCAAGAGCAGATAAGCTCACAGGTTACTTTGCAGTTCTAGCAGACAATGCAAGCAGAGAATCCAGAGCAGGGGAGGCAGCTGTACTTCTCTGGCACTCTGGGTGAATCCCTCATGAATTTCTCTCTGCCTTTCAGTCAAGCACTTAAAGACACTGTCATTCAACAGTTTGGATGTGGAAGTAAAATGCAACTGTAATGCCAATTCAATTTATACTCTAAAACCCACCATCTGCTTTTTATTTTAAGATAATTCTACATGCAGTTTTAGATGCCTGCAGTAGCAGCCATGGGAAATCAGGCATATGGCCACTACCATATGACAAAGTGTATTATCTAATAATTTCTTGTCTTTCTCATGCATCCACTTGTGCATAAGGTATTTCAACATAATAGGTATCATTTAATCCATTCACACAAAATCCACTTCTAGTAAAATCTTTCGATATTTCTACTACCTCTGCCAGCTGTCTGCTTCACCCCATTTCAGCCTCAAAGGTTTGTGAAACTTGCATAATTCACTTTTCCTGTCATGCTGAAGATAATAAATAACTGAATTCCCATGAGAAATGTCAAAATATTGGAGGACATTTTACAGTCTTAATCTGATCTGAATAAAAATAGGAAAATGTCTTATCATATGAGAATCTGGGGAAGATTTGTTACCTTCACCTCAATTAAATGTTTAGAACAAGATGTGTCAATATTTGCACAATAATCTGGACAGCATGCAGTCTGTCCAGTTAAACCAAATAGCTCAATATTCTAAGCAGAAAACAGGTTATGCTTATTTTTCTAGGGTGGGAGGAAAACATTATGGGTTCTGCTAAACTAGTTTTAAATACCAGTAATTCCATTCATACACGCATGCAGAAAGGAGCCTTGCTGTGAATGTGTAGTATTTGATAAAGAAATGTGTGACAGGAAAGATCCAGATGTGCAAACATGCCAAAAGCAGGCTTTTCAGCAGAACAAACCAGCTCAGTAAGCCCCTAAGAAAGGGGCAGCAGGGAAAACGTGTGTGTGCGTGCAAGCATGTCCACACATGCAGCAGAGGTTTATATATCCAACTTAGGTATTATCAGTGAAACAGCTTAAGGCTCCAGTAGTTCCCCAGTTCTGCTCCCTGGCTGGCACGCAGTGTCCCTTTGCAGCGAGGGCAAGCCAGCTGACGTGGCAATCAGATCTCTTGATTCCTGTTTCTTGCACAGAAGTAAGAGGATCTTCTCCCTTCTATTACTTGCATGCTCTCTTTTCCTGAGCATACAAAAATAATCCATGTTCCATAAGACGGATTTGACTTTGATGTGTAAAAGGCCAAAATTCTCCACCCCACCCTCCATTAAAAATGCTACCTTTGACGTTGGTCAAGAACTGAAGGTAAACCAGTTGCTTTAGAAAGAAATCAGTAATAAGCCCACTCCTTTTCATCCTCAGTACTTTAAAAATGAAACCCAAACAAGCACAGAAATAGGTTTCCTTAAACTGTTCATAAAGGATCTTCAGTCGTATTAGGAGCTCCTAGTAGCAATTCAAAAGCTAAATATAAAAACAGCTTTATGAAGTACTTATAAAGTCAGTAAGAGGCTTTTTATTTTTAGCATATTTTCCTGTGAGATAAAGATAATGAATGTAGAAAGCATCCAAACCCAAAATGAGACATGCAAAAGAGATCCCACGATCTGCACCAGGGGTGTTACAGAATCAGCATGTAGAGAGCAGTGTTCTGACAACACCATCTGCTCATTTGTGCTGTTTTTTCCTATTACCAGCTCTCTTAATGTCTCATGCATGATTTTCTGTGGAAGTCAGGAGGAGTCTATGATTTATTTTGACATTAATATTTACCAGGCTGGTGTATGCTTAAAGTAGCAAAGATGCTGAGAATGTTTCCTCATTTAAAAAGCCATTGAAATAGTTTTCCTTTTTCATTCGAGACATGAACAAGTTATTTTGTCACTTCACTGTTACATAAAAGCCATATCCCATTCACATGGCATTAATTTAGGTAAATACCACTAGTTTTGCTCTTACTAGAGCTGTAGACTGAAAGAAAAATCACTTTGGTTTTTAAAAATTTGCTGGCCTTTTACATTGGTCACTAAAGAACAGTGAAACAAAGTTTTAGGCTGTGAAACTTAAGTTCTTTACTATTAGCAATTTTCTGGGAAATGAAAATGCAAGATACTCCTGCAAAACTCACTCTGGGCACTGAAAAGAGGTTTGATTGTCCCTTCCTGAAACCTAAAAAAGATATTTCAGTTGCATTAATTAACAATTGTCTTGCAGGTTCTGCATAAGTAGCATTCTTGATATGTGTGGTTGTTTCAGTGTTTTGAAGCAAGTCTTACAAATGAGGTTTGTGTACTCTGCTGAAATACAGAAAAGTGTGCACAGTCTGTGCATTTCAGATCTGTTGCATGACTGCATTACACTCTGGATTGATACTCTTTTCATCCAGAAATGGATTACAGAGCTGACAGATTTCTTAAAATAACCATTGTGGATGTGAATCATACTGACAAAAGCAAAGAAATCCCATTCAGAAAAGACATCTTACCTCAGCCATTATTATGAATATGGATGATTATATATGATTTATATACAAAGGATTTTTTTTAATAGCTAGGTATAGAAGCCTAAAATTTCATTTTTTCTCATTAACAAAAAGACTACCAAAGTTATGTACCAGTGGTATTGATGCTATGCATGTACCACAGAGGTTGCTCTTAAATAGCTCTGTGCTCTAACATGGGGCCATGTATTGTCCCTTTAGAAGGGACACTGATATGCCAGAGATGCACTCACAAATATGAATAGCAGAGACAAAACTCAGTGTTTGCAATTCTCCTGCACAGGATGATATTATTTTTCACAGCAATTACTTTTCCTAATATTTAAAGGACAGAGACTAAAATGAAAGAACTGTAGTATACTGGAATGTTGGTTAGTTAAATTAATTATTCTGATGCCACCATTTTTTTTTTTTTTATCCAGGTTTTGAGATTTAAAAAAATGGATATAGACACTTATACATTAGAAGAAGCTATTCAAGATACAATATCTCTAGTGTTTAAAACCTTTGGAAATTAACGTATGAGAAATGCATATGTGCTGTAAAACATTACCTCTGCACTTTTGGTTTTTTAGGAACTACAAGAACTTCTGAAAGAACTTATGACAATGTGCAGTCTTAAGTTCTGCAGTCTCAAAGCCCTTTTTCTATTGCTGCTCTATAGGTAAGAAGTATTTGCTAAAATTATTATTTCTTTAATATGTTATTATATCCATTGGTTTATAATAAACTTACTTATAATTAAAGACATATCTGTCAGGGCAACAAAGTAAAATCATCTTGGCATTTGAATCTTGCCTCTTACAAAAATTAAAGAACCTGGGTATTAACAGAAATACAGGACTGAGCTTCATGAATCTCAGCTGCCTTGATAAACAGATTTTTTTTTAATTGGAAAGATTGATGGGGGTGAAAAAGAATGGAATTTGTGAAGCATATGAACCCTCAAATAAAGGATTACTGAGTACAAAGTGAACATTGTATCAGATGCTTAGCAAATTCAGATGGGCACACAGTCCTTGCCCGGAGCATAGTGCCTTGCCCTAGGACAGAAACACAGAGTGCACCTAGATTTACTACAAGCTTGAGATAGTAAAATCATCATTGTGCACTAAAAGGAGAGTATCTTAAAAAGAATTACCTATTTTAAACACTGTTTTCTTATTCTCTGATAAGAAATAATGAAGTTGTTAGGAAATCTGAGATGCATTATGCTGGAAAGGGAAAATGATCCCCTCTGGCTGCACATAACCCTTCTAACAGTACAGCTGCCATGACAAAAAAATATAGAAATGGAGCACTTAAAACATATTCCTTCTATAAAAATGGGCAAAAATATTCTTTAAGTAATTCTCATAAGAAAATGCAAAAACGGACAGGTTAAACATTCTCATCACTACTTTCATCAAAAGTATTTAAAGTCTGTGAGCCAATTCTTTATCTAGAATTGCTTAAACTACATCTCACAGTAGATTCCTCAAGATAAGATTCTATCTGAGCTTTAACTCAAGTGGGTGTGCAAACACTCATTTAGATAAAGCTTTCTCTGAGTAGTGGGAACAGGCGGCACAATCCCCTGAAAATAAATTTAAAGCATCCACCTTCTCCATTCCTATAGAGAGGTCTTTGTCCAGAGCATGCTCTTGCTCTAATTCCACCTTTCCTCATCAGCTGTGACTTGCCCCGCTGCAATGAGTGGGTGACTCATGGCTTAATAAAACCCTGCTAAAAGACCAACAATTTCAGAAGCACCTGAAGAACAAGGAGGCAAAATTCCCCCAGGAGCCTGTGGTACACATCTCATGAATATCAGACAGACTTTGTGAATCCTCTTACAGCTTCATCTGGCTGTGAGTGTCCAGCAGCACAGGAGTTCATTCCTGACTGTCATCCACGGGGTTTAGTGCACACCCAGCACCTGTGAGTGCCTGGGTACAGTGCAGGGCACTGAGCTGATGTGCCTGTCACACCCAAATCCAGACACAGGCTGAGAAGGGGCTCTGGCCCTTGGTTATCTCACAGACAAGATGATGCCTGGGTACAAAAATGCATTTTGCAGTGCACAAATCAGGAGGGGTTTGTGAAAGTGCTGTTTAAAACAAAAACTCTTCTGCTTGGCACCGAAACAGAGAAATATTTCTAACTAAAACCCAAGGGCTGAGGTACACCCAAAGCAAGGACCATGATTTTTTGCCAAGTGGTCCCTTAGGTATTTCACTTGGAAAATCTCTGCCTAACATGTGAAGAGAGTTTCTTTTACTGAATAATTTACAGTCAGTAATGATATGGTGTTGTTTTTTCCTTTCTATCTCTCCCTTCCTGAATGACACTTCTTCACTTCACTTAACATTAAATTACATTACAATCATAACATGGCCCCATTTTTACTATTAAAATCTATATCTGGGGAGTTGCCTGGATGATTTGTTTCCCAGCATTTTTTTTTAAGTAGCAATGAAAAAATTGAGGCAAATTTATCCATTATGAGGAATCAGTTTTATAAATGCATGCTATTTGGTCTGAAGAAGGGTTCCCATTTGTTTCAGGGAGGGTGTTTTTAACATAAAGAATGCTAGCCTGGGTTTAGGGAATCAGAAACAGAATTCTATTAAATGTTCTTTTTTGCCTGAGCTCAAGAGCATTTATGGTATTTCACTGTTTGTTCTTGTGCCTGGTAACATGATGTTAGTTTCAACCTCACCATTTAATAATAAAAAAGATGGTGACAGTATTCTCTCAAAGCAGAGAATTAATCAGTGATTTAGATTTTGCTACAGTTTATCTGCAAAGACCATATAAACCCTCATATCATTGAGCAAAGGTACGAAACCAGAAATAACAACTTTATTTGCATCTGTAAGACCTTCGCCTGTCAGTGAATTGCCTGAAAAAAAGCTTTTTTTATTCTTGTTTTCCTGGGGGGAGTGTTTCAAAAGCTTGTTCAAACTGTATCTGGCATTTTGTTTATTTTCTTGCAGTTCTAAGGTGTTTCTGTTTCTTTCATGCTTTCATGATACATATCTTCTGACAAAAAATAGCCAGAAAAAATATTCTCATACATGTGTCTAGACTGTACTTTTGCCTAAATAAATGATATATACTACTGTTTAGGGCAAATGTTCCTTTTTTCCTTCCAGTTACTCCATTCTGTTAAGACACAAACTTGAAAGTACCTTAAATAACAAACAGTTGTTGAACCTTTCAAGTTCAGCCAAAATTTGCAGGTTTTGTGCGTTAGAATGACTTAGGAAAATAAATAATTATAACTCAGCTTTTATAAAAGCAACCAGAGGGCACTGATCCCGATGAGTTAAAGCATTTATTAAGCATTGACAGCCCAGAACAGATAGATATTCTCAGCTGAAAAATAATTACATACTCAGGGTTTTTTTCTGTAAAAGCCTGTTCCCTCCTCAGTGGCTTGGACACCTGTTGCAAGAAAATTCCACACTTAAATGCATGCCAGGGTATTTCACATACCTTAGGAAAATGGAGAAACTTAGACAGTTTCCCTTAACTGTGAAACACAAATGTAACAACACAAATACTGGTTAAAAGAGAAGCTTAGATGCATTGAAGAGAAGATGCAGATGCATGAGTGGAATGAATTTCAGCTTTATCCTTTGTGAATGTTGCAGCTGTGAGCTCCCTGTGGCTGAGCTGGGAATGGAGCATGGGAATCAGAGTGCTGTAAAGGTACCAGGGCATCATCCCCTAAAACACAGAACCCCCAAACTGCTGAAGGCACAGAACCTCTGCAGGTTTCTCATCTTTCACCACTGACATTCTGCTCACACCACACCCACATTTGGGAGGCCTCGGGTTCCTTCCACTTGTTGGCTTGCTGTGCTGGGACTTCTCTAAGGTTTTGTGGCCAAACAGCACACGAGGGACAGTGCCTCATTAACTCACAGCCTTAATTACAGCCTAACAGCTTTCCCAGGCTTACTTAACCATAAATCTCAAAAGACCAGCGATATGAGGCTATACATCATGTGTTAATGAGGAAAATTATGAATTACCACAGGTCGTTTAAAGGAAGGAGTTCCATAAAAATTTTAAAGACATATCTTAGAAAATAGAGTTGATAATAATGAACAAGACCACTCTGCAGTTGCATATTGATTGGCAGAATAATGATATACCCTAGCAGTAGAAAAGAAACAAGTCTTCTTTTAACATTTCACGACGTGTAAAACTTACTCAAGAACAATCCAGTAAAACTGTGAAATTAAGCTCATGCAGGTCACTGAAGACTTAGCTAAAATTTATATGTAAATTACGAAAGGAGAGATATCTATTCCAAGTACAGTACTTAAGAAATTAATTACATTCAAATGCATTTCCAATTTTAACACTTCTATGCAACATAAAACTGGCCTTCTTATTTATAGTCACATCTCAACTCAACGTGACTGTTTGTTTCTTTAGGGAAAAATTTACAGGAGAAACTTCCCTTATTTCGATGCTGGCATTACTCAAGGGTACACTTAAGTAACAACATAATTCTTTGGCAATACAGAAACAAAAAACAGGGGAAAAAATAAAGGAAAGAAATAAGATTATTCAAATAGCTAAGATATTTGTGTTATAAGGTAGATAATGAAAACCAGCTACTTCTGTGGCAATAGGGCCTGGTGAATAAAAAATTATGCAGCAATAGCAGCTTTTCAAGCCAGTGGGACACCACATTTCAAACCACAGTGTGATTTGGCCACGTGCATGCAGTGAGATCATCTCAGCATTTAAGCTTTTCCAGTCTAAGATACATGATTATTCCTAGTGTCTCAGTGTCCTGACAAAAGAACTCAAGCTTTCTCAGAAACGGCAAAATTAAAATGAAAACATCGAGCTTTGGAAAGCTACAAGAGACCCAGAAATACAATGCAGAAGAGAAAGCAGAGTTTTCAGGAGCAGCTCCAGAAAGAGCTGAGCCTAAGGAATTCAGGGAGGGTTTAGCACTGTAAGGGACGATCACAAAACACTGGTAGCCCCTTGCCGGATGGTTTGTGCTTGGATTCTCCTCTCTGGGAGCAAATCAGCAGAGCTGCAGCTCTCACCTCCTGCAGGAGGGCTGCTCACCCTTCTCCTTCTCCTGGTGTTCCTATCCGTGCCTGCTCTCCAGCAGCAGACACAATGCAGCTGGGCTCACTAAGGCAATTCTTTATTTGCTCCTCACCTTCAGAATTCATCCCCCACCCTTTCTCAAATCTTTGGGAACGAGTCATGGCTACCATCGGTGCTGTAATTTCTGAAGAGCACACCCTGCTTACGGCCTTGGGGTGCTCAGCTCCGGGGTTAGGCAGAAAGGTTTGTAATTATTTATATATAGCTTCTGTGGATTGCGTTTGTAGCTGTTTCTGAACGGAGGAAGCACTTGAATTCTCATTATGCTTCACTGATTTTGGTCAACAGGATTATTTCTGTAGCCTGTTTAAAAATTGTGTTGTGAAAGCAGGATTTTTAGAGTGTTTTTATGCATTAGTGTCTGAGGATGGTTTCTGTCTCTGAGACCTAAATATAATGTATTTCATTATGTAAAAAGAAGCTTAATAAACAACTAGCATCCCTTCCACATTCCTAGATTATAACTGTAATGCCCTGTTTACAGATAAAGTATTAAAGAAGATTGTTTCTCAGATGGAGTGTTAAGAAATAATAGACTTTAAGGTATAAAAAGAAATAGAATTTAAGGTATAAAAAGAAATAAAAAACTGTAAGGTATAAAAGAGTTCTTTTCCAATAAAAGACTAATACAGATTATGAAATCTGATTTTTTTTTTAATATTGGGTTTTTTTATTATGTCCTTTAAAACATCCTCATTTTCAATTCCTTTTAGGTCAATGCAAATTCCTAAAGCTGAAGGAAAAGGTGACATTCTACCTCCAACAATACAAAAAATAATAAAAGGCTACAACAAATATCTACGTCCATTTTTTGATAGTAAGTAGAAAAGCTCTTTCTGTAAGACTGAGTCATAACATAATGTGGTGTCTAAAATTCAGCATGAGAGCAAATGGGTTTTTTCTGTACTTTTTTTCCTCTGATATCTGACAGCCACTGATCTGATTATATATGTTCTGTGATATAATAAGATAGAGTTTAATAGCTTTTGTGGCCCAAGGTGAAACTTGTCTATACCAAGAATTTGCAAGCTAAACTTCCAGACTGTTAGAAAACTTGACTATCAATTTATTAAATAAACTGTAACATCTTACCTATTTAAATGAGTAATTTCCTCTAATTTCCTAAATAATAACTATAAAAAGCTTTGATTAAAGATTTGAAAGCTTTATTTATCAAGCTGTTCATAACAGCACAGACAAATCTTGTTACTATACAAAGTACTATGTGTCTCAGCTATAAGTTTGCAAGAGAATTATTTAATAAATGATTCTTGCCTCAGGTCTTAAAGGTCACTGAACAGATTTACTGAAAATTGTGGGGGAGGAATGAACTGAAAAGAGAAAATGAATCAAAAATGTGAGTTCCCTGCATCAGAAACCAATGGTTACCAGATTGGAAGAGCCACATAGTCTACTGCATCAAGGCTGATTTTACTGCCCTGCAGTGCAGTCAGACACCTGAAATCTCAGTGAAAATCTTCTTCCTTATTTGAATCAGGCTATTGGATGTATCAGAAGTACTGAGGAGTTAGAAAGTGGCATGAAGAGCTTGTCCTGGAGAAAGTGCATAACACTGAAGAAGAAAATACTCTGAATGTTGAAAAGAAGCTCAGCCCCATGTGTCTGTCAGAAAACAAACTTGCAGCATGAATGCTAGGCAATAGTTCTTGAGATAGATGTTTGGAAATGTTAGAGGTATGAATGCAAATGAAATATTTTATATCCCTTTATATCCTGCTTAAACAAATGATTGACTAGTAGGTTTCTAAGACCATACTGTTACCTCTTGCCATCCAACTACCTGGTTCAGTTTGGATGCTACACATCATGTGCTGTTTCTGAATCCATTTATAATAATTTTAAGATAAACCTTTTGGGTTGAAGAAAAAGGGGAAAATGATTTAATCTCCTTGTTTTTTTTGTAATTATCTTAGCTGATGATAAAACTTCTATAAAATATTTAATGCTCTAAGGAGACTGACAGCAAAATAAAAGTAACTTTAATAAATAAACTAACCCTTCCTCATTGGAGATGATGCATAATGTAAAATAACTGTGTTCAGTGGCCATTAATATATTTTATTCATTACCCCATGTTAGTACTAGAGATATGTTGGCACCGCCATGATGAGTGTGCTTGGGTAGACTACAGAGTCTCATTTCAAAATCCTGTAATAGCAATTAAGACCTACCATAAAGCATATTTGAGTTACAAATCTCCCTTTTCTCTATCTTTTTTCCTCAGCTGTTGTATCACAGCAATGCTAGTTATTTTTTTACCTGGCTGTTTTGCTCAGGGGGGTGCTAGGGCCTCTCTGGGTGTGGAAATCCCAGAGGAGCTGGGGCACAGATCGGGTCTGTCACACACAGAGCCAGGCTCACAGCATCGCTGCATGTGCTCCCTGCAGCTCAGGCATGCAAACTGCCTCAGAAAACTTTGATGGATCTTTATTAGTTTGAGTGCTGAAGGAACAGATGACACTCTGAAAAAAATACATTTTATTGATACCACTTCTAAATGCAAGGTTGGTGGTTTTGTGAGCAATTACTTTGTAGGAATAATTTGAGTTAGGATGACTCAGGCAATGCTTCTCCTGATTTTTGAACCTGTAGCTTTTTGTGAGATCATTTGGGATCACTTTCCCTGCCATAATGGAAGGTGTGCTTGGGCTGGGGAGTGGTATCAGCCTAGTCCTGACCCCTCTCTATTACTGGCAGCTACAATTTGCATGAGGGTCACACTGAGAAGAAGTGATTGCTCTTCTCAGAAGCAGAGCTAGCAAACCACCTAAATCCTCAGCTTAACAAACCAGTGGAATTTATTTATCTCTGTGACCACATCTATGCTAGCTTTGTTCCACGTAATATTTTCCTGATTTATATGGTGGGGTTTTGCCTGCAGCTGGTGTACCTCGTGTCTGTTCCTGGTAACTGGCTTTACTCAAGAATGACATCAATATCTGCAGCATGGCTGTCAAAGAGGTGATGATGCCAAAATAGCAATTTGTCATTGATACTTCTTCTGTGACTTTTCCCTGTCCCACTGCCCCCAAATTCTTAGTTTCTTTGGGATGATTTTATGTTAATTGTGAGAGAGCAGTTAGAGATGGATCTTAAGGTCAAACAGCAGATTAGACTCGAGTAGGCTAATGAACAAATGCACATTAAAAACATAAACTGGGCTATTCTGGTAGAGATCACTGGCTACTGTAAAAGCCTGCACCATCTTGATTGTGCAACCTATCAGTGATGATATACTCTGAGAAAGAAACTTGTGTTTCTAGAAATATGAACAGAAAAGGATGGATATGCACCTGACAATCTATGTTTGCTGTCTTGAATGAAAGGATTTTTATAAATGGGAACCTAGTATGTATATGTTGATATGCTGCTAAAGCCAGTCTTTTCAAGACACTTGGCTTCCTTTAGTTTGGCCAAGATTCCTTTGCTTTCAAAATTATGTGCATTTCTGTTTATTAGCTCAATTAGAAACACACTCATAAACATACATGAAGAAATTTGTCATACAGCTAGATGGTATTATTTGTGGGCATCTACAGTGCTTTAAGCTTAATGTCAGTGAGTCATAATGAAACTCTGAAATGTGGTTTTTATCAAGTATGAGAGGGCCAGAGGTGAGCTTAAATTTTAGAATAACCTAATTTAAAATAATTTCAAAATTACTTGTCCTTGAAAATTTTCTTCAGGCTGGAAAGGGCAATTTTTGAAGTGATGATTGCTGCCAAGATAGAATCATACTCTTGCAAAATCAGTGGCACTGAGCTCCTTAATATTTGACAAAATGGGGTTTTAGTCCTGAAAAGAAAGTTAGGTATAAACAAATGTTCATAAAATGACAGTTCCTTTCTCTTTAAGCCAGAAAAACCAGAAATATTTACTAGTTAAGTAAAATTTATGGCAGCTCATAAATTTTTAGTATAACAAACCCTCCATTTGCTTATTAATTTGGTCATTGTGCAAGGACTGGCAGATGACTGGAAATGTCCCAGCCATGGTGAGTTGCCACATTGTGAGGGTACTTCAGAAACTGTTAGCACAGAAGAATCTCAGCTGGACTGGTTATTTAGCTCTGCCCTCATCTGAATGTTGCTATTAAGAATATTCTCTTTCCTTATCTGTAGCACTTTAATGTCCCTCTTTGAGCTGGTTCATCAAGCAGGTCTTCAGATTAAGCAGATAGGTGCAATAAATAATAAAGAAACCCCAAACCCCTGATCTGGAATGAATGTAGCCATTCTTTGGACTGGAATATGAAATGCTCCAATACTAATGTTAGTAGATATTACTCCTCAATATAATTATATCTATCCTACCCTTACAGATATATATGGAATACTTCTACAGAAAAGCTGGCATAAGGAATTTAAAAATCAACAGTTATTTCCCTTAAATGTGCTACATTATCCTGACACTTTATCTCAGCAATACAAGTTGATTTCCAGCTCAGGTTTTCTGCTGGAACCATGTAGATCAATTTTATAACTTTATGTGCTGTGCCAAACTCCCTGAATTAATGAGAAATTCCTGCAGACTTCAGGGAGCCTTGGATTAGGTTCATAGGGTTGTTAAGGGATGCATAAAATCTTGTAAATAATTTTATACAAATAGATTTTGTTCTGTGATTGAATGTGATAATTTAAGTGTTCTAATTAAAAAGAGAGATACTAGGAAAAGGTCACAGCTAAGTATATTTGAATATGGAAGCTGCTTTCAAGTGGTACAGAAAAGTGTCATGCTTAAATCAGTTATTCTAAATCACATTTAAAAGATTATTTTCCTTCATAATGAGTAATACATTTCACAGACTTAAGTTTTAAATTAAAGCAAATAAAATTTTTGGGTTTAGCCTTCTGTCTAAGACCTGTCACCATGGGTTTTTTTCCCTCAAATGTTATTTATATTAAGTTCTATAAATTTAATTAGATGAAGGTATTTTAGTCTTCAGGAATGTATGAAAGAGATATCAGAATGTTATCTGTGTCTAGCACCCTTCGGTTTAGTGAGGCAAACTCACAGGGCACATGAGAAAGAAATACTAAATAACCATCATCTAAAGACTATTTCACATCCAATATCTAGCCAATATCTAATCCTTTAGGGAAAAGCAAAAAACCCAGAATATGTAAACTTCAACATACACATGTTAATGGAGATTTTCCTTCTTTTCCCAGAAGACATGCTAAGAGCATCTGATTGCCACCAAACCCAGCTTCCTGCAAGCAGGACACTTTGGGTTTTGGTTTTTAGGTTCTCCCCTGCCTCTCCAACCCCTCCAAAGGCTCCATCAGAGACTCTAAATGATGGTTATGTTCAAAAACATAAAAGATCAATTTATTTGAAGTTTCTTGTTGTCTCTAGCATCCATAACTTTGCTTTGCCAGACAATTTACTATTGCATGCATTTTCTGACACTGGACAAGTCACCTCTCTGACTTCTCTTTGAGGAGCTGAGTAAACAATGCTCCTTGGTTTTTATGTTACAAGATTTGATATTAAGCTTCCGGATTTTTGTCTTTTGGAATATATCTCTTTCTCTCAACCAAACTGTGTCTGCTGTTTGCACATTTTATTTAAATGTGGAAAACAAATCTTGTCACAGTCATAACAGTCTTGCCAATACAGAATAGATTGCAAGATAACTTAATTCTGTACATTACTCCCCATTGCAATAATGCTGCTGCCAAAGCATAAGATGGAAAGAGCATGTTGAAATGATTATCTGTGACAGCCTCTAAATCCTTCTCAAAGCCACTGCTTGCCAAGATGGTTTCTTATCCTGTGTGTGCTGCCTGTCTTATTTGTCCCCACATTAATTGCTTGCATTTGGCTGTATGGAAACATGGGGTTTTACAAATGATTTAACAAGCTGTTGTTAACATGGTCCCCAGCAATTTTTGTCTTGTCCACAAACTGTGCCAGCAAAGCAACATCAACGTCTAAAAATTATTGATGTAAACAAATAGGATTGAAACTGATTCATGCTAGAAATGGGTCTGTCTTCTGCTCCTTCAAATCAAGAATTACAGTTGAGATCTGTCAGAAGGCCTGTCTTAACCTGTCCACTTTCTTCATGTAACTATTTGTCAAGAAAGATGTCTTGTGGCGGGAAGTTAAATGCCCTGAAAAAAAAAAATCTAAGCATTCTGTAAGAATTCTGTAGTACTGCAAAGCAAAGCTGGCAATCAGAGAGACAAAATGAGGTTTTTGGAAAGCTATAATGAATTATTCTAGTGATAATTTTCTTTCTAATTCTTTGTTTACTGGCAGTATTTTATCCAGTATTGCTGAAAAGATGAGACATTCTTCCAAAATGCCTTTTGAGGCCTTTCTGAATGTCAGAATTGTTTTGAGTTTTCTTAAACTAAATGAAAAAGAGCTCACGCTAATGGCTCAGCACTGGAACTTATTGATAATGCTGATCCATTGCAGTAGTAGGTACACATGTGGTGGTTTATTTTGCTGCTACAGACCAGGGTCATTGCAGTGAGTGATCCAAACTTAATTTTTAGGTATGCTATCTGCCACTTTTCTGGCTGCTTTCCCATTCGGGATCACTAGGAATGTCTATGAAGGGCATAGAGGAACACTTCACATAAATTGCAGTAAAATTAAAACACATTTCTTAGGCTGCACAGCCAGGGCTGTAACAAGGCACTCCCTTTGGCAATGCTCTGCCATGCTTTGAAGATTCCCTTCAATAATGCAGGACACAGTGACTTCAGTTTTCTTCTGAAGATCGGTAGATTTCTTCTGATGTTGTCATTATACATAGAACTTCTGCCAAACATATGGAAATGTAGGAACTGACTGCCTCATCTGGTTTGCTGTCCAGTTCTTGACACTGTCAACAGGAGACCTTTCAGAGGAAGTTCAGAGGAAACCCTGGTGAATAATTATGAGGAGTCTCATTCTGTTATTAGTACTTTACAATTTATGGTACCTTACTAAATAAACATTTATCCTTACATGCGAAAAAGAAATCAGCATTTAACTATTAATGTTATTCTGATTTAATTAACTGCTGGAGCAAAGCTGTTCTCAGCATCTTGTATTGTGTTACTAAAGATCCTTTCCATAATTTGTTTTCCTGCACAGCTCCTCCCATCCAGCACATCGCTGTATCCAGGGGGATGTAATTTCTGCTGAGTTTTTGTGGGTGCTGGGCTGGCAGGCTGGGTGCTCTTGGGCAGTGAGAGCTGGAGGCTGGGGCGAGGGGAGCAGGATGGTTTTTCCTGGCTGTGCTGCCACTCCTGGCACTTGAACCCCAAGGCAGGTCTGTGTTCAGTCCGTGTTAGCTTGAAGTACATCTTAACCTGAGCTGGACGTCTTGTGGTGCTTGAGAGTCACCCAACACTGCAATGCTGTTGTGTTACTCAGAAATATTTTGAAAAATATTTCAGCAGGAAAGAAAAAAAGAATCTACAAAGTTCTGTAGATTTCTCTGTCTGATTCCAGAGAAAGTAACCCCTGCTTAATTTCAGTAATCTTTCTGGAAAGTCAGCTTTTCCTCTCATATGTGTAACGACCCAGTACTGATGATATTGAAATGCTGCTAATGGACATTTTCCCTAATTTGTATCATCTTACTGGGAAAGGATCAGGTGTTGTTCCTACTAATAAATTATGATATAATAGGAAGAGTCTGATTATTCCCAGCCGTGATTCCTGCATAATCATCTGAACAGTGCATTGTCCTCTCCTTGGGGAGATCCATCATTAGGCGTGTGCCTTGCTGGATGGGGTTCTCCCCAGATGATCGTGTGATAATTGACAGTAATATGCTCTGTTACTGTCACACATGGGAATCTCTAGGAAGACATAAAAAACCCCAGAATATGCATGATAAACCACATTATTTTAAAATTCAATGGTTTTTGAGGGTCTGAGATATCTCTTGAGACTGGCAATATTGTACCTGCAATTATGATATAGTACAATGGTACGTATAAGTATAGTATAACTATTAATATTTGCACCTCAGGTAGCTGGAAAGAGTTTCTTAGGGGTTGACCTTTTAATCCTGGAGGGAGAACAAATAAATGTATTCATGGAGTATCAAAACATGAAAAGAATGGAAAGAAACAGAAGAAAAACCTGTCAATGATCTGAGAGTTTTTCAGGCAATTTTGTTTCAAAGTTAACCTCCAAAGTATTTTTCCAGTATATGAACAATAGTTTCTAAATCTAACGTATAATTTAATAGTATATAATAAACATGCATATTAGCATCAGGGCATGCTGCAAACCTGTAGTCCTATTTTAAGCTGGAGCTTTATATTTAAATGTTCAACTGAGTCCAGAACAAAGGATTTAAAGATTGTTTTCAGGAGTGGCAGATGTGTAATGATTTTAGCACATGCATTAGGAATAGAAAATATTTTGGAAAAAATAAAAATGCTAAGAAACTTACACATCTTAGAATGACACATTTTTTTCTTTAGTGTTATTCAGGAGGGTAGAGTTGGATTCCATGTTCCTCTGGATGCCATTTGGGGCCGTACAGGAGATTTCTACAAAATGTATTGCAAGGAGCCAAGAAGGGCTTTTAGCCATGTGCCTGTGAGATAGGGGCACTTCCAGCTGCAGAGGTTTTACCTAAAGTATTTCTGCATTTCTCAGTGCTGTGTTCTTTTCTTCTCAATTTCTTGGAAAGATGCACTGATTTAATATTAATTTCTTTGTACAAGAACTCTGTTAATTATTCTGCACATATTCAACCAAGAATAATGTAATAATGTCCTGTTTCCATCAAAGCGCTGCAAAAAAATCTGCATTTTAAAATGCACAGCTGGTGATCTTCCTTCCAACAGTGTGAAATGCACATTCAGGAGGAAATGGGAATCAGAGCATACTGACATTACAACAACAACTACTTAGTAAGGTGTTAAACTACACTGAATGTACTTCAGCTTATGACAAGTTTTCCTTTATAAATAAAGGTATTTAAATCACAAATTTCCTGCTAGCAGCCAAAGGCAAGATATTAAATCACAGCAATACAATATATACCATAAATCCTTAATTGGGCAGTAAAGAAAGTCACTCAGCTGTGCCATGGATATTAACCATGTGACATTGCCAGGTGAAACTTCTTATTTCACACACATCTGAGGGACCAGGTGTTGCAACTGGAAGAATTCTTTCCACTGCTCTGCTCCTCACAGCAGAAGAGTGTGATGTACCGTGGGGGTTGTGCCTTCCACACCTCATTGTGTAATATTTTATCCAGCACTTTTTTTTCCTGGGGGGAAAAAATCATATAAACCAGGAAGTATTTAAGAAATAAAGCCTGTTTCTGAAAACTAAAATAGTTTTAGCTCAGAAGTATGACATTTTGGTTAAGAATATGAAAATTCTTTCATAATCTGTGTTCAAGGAATATTTAAAATAGCTTCTAAGCATTTAGAAAAAAATGGAAAGATTTTGTAGACAGTTCTTGTGAATATTGAATATTAAAGAATTATAAGCTACATTCTGACTTTTTCTTTTTTTTGCAGATGGTCCTGTGTCAGTTGGAATGAGTCTGGATATTGCAAGCATTGATACAATATCAGAAATAAATATGGTATAGTAGTTTTTGCAGTCTTTTTTTTTTTCTTTTGCCTGTTGATAAGCTGATATCTTGTGCTTACAACTGCTGGCAATGTGACTTTGGGCTTGTGAAGAGACTTTGCCTCCTTGTGAAGTCAGTATGGGTTAGGAGATTGAATTCTCTTTTCCACAACACACAGTGTTTATAACACTATAATAAGCATAGAAATGCAGCTGTGAATCCCACCTCTCACAGATACAAACAGAAATCTGCTACTGAGTATTAATCTTAATGAGAAGCATGTGGATCAATTTTTATTTTCCAGCTGAAATGTCTCCATCTTTATGCATTTCAGAAAAATAAAGATGCATTCATATGCCTTTGAAGCCACTCTCCCTATGATTAGATCCAGCTGAACTCAGGCTGTTTTTCTCTTCTATTGTTGCTGTCACACGTTAATTTATTCCAGCTGTGTTTCATTTAATTTGTATCATTTGTTCTTGAACAAACTATGAAATGGAATGTACTTTTCTACTTAAAGATCCTCCATTAGTACACAGAAATAAAAATAAAAAATAATTACTCAAATATTAAATATGAGTGTATTAGTAATTAGAAATTATTAGTTACTATTTAGAAAGGGAAAATAAGGTCAGAACTCCAGATGAATTTATAATATTAATAAAAAACACGCCATAAAATAAAAAGTTGTTTTAAAAGTGCTAAGAAATAATGTGATCTTAATGTAGGACTGCAAAGCATATTTAAATTGAAGGGGAATTGGACTGAGTGCTGTGTTCAAGGTCTTGATAAATTTGGTACCACTGTTTCCTTTGTGATGCTAAAAGGAGAAATTGTGCTAAAAGATTCCTCTCCTGTTTCACTAACTTCTTTTGTCTATATGAATTTATTCAACTTTTTGCCATGTGCTCTTTAAAAATGCTTTATTTATTATCTTATGTGAATAAAATGAGATTTGGAACCACTTACATAAATCATTCTGAAACTCAAGTTTTACAGAGCCAGATTATCTGCTTACAAAGCTCTGATGACTTCAGCTGATTCATAGCCCCAGACTAAGGCCAGCAGCTTTTACTGTAAATGACCATTAGAACAAAATCTACCAACCTCACGTGGAGTGCTAGAAAATTTGGCAGAATTCAGTACAGCTGCTCTTGGAGTGCCAGGGACATGGAGAATCAGTTTGTGCCCAGCAGCTCTTTCCACATACTTCTGTAAAAGTGAATACAGCACAGGCTCCCTTTCTATGATAATTCTGATTTTCTCTTTCAGGACTACACAGCCACCATATTTCTAAGGCAGCGATGGACTGATGAGAGGCTTTGCTTCGATGGTAATAAGAGTTTGAGCCTAGATGGTCGACTTGTGGAAATGCTTTGGGTACCAGATACCTTTATAGTTGATTCAAAAAAGTCTTTTCTTCATGATGTCACTGTTGAGAATCGTCTTATAAGGATATACCCTAATGGAACAGTCTTGTATGCTATAAGGTATGTAAATACCACCTATCAGCCTTTATGATTGTGTCTATGTATGTTTTAAACTTCCCAGGTTCTGCTTAAGAAAATGGGTCTGTTTGTAAAAGTAGGGTCTTGTAGTTTTGAGAATATGCAATATTCTTGATCAATATAAATAAATCTTTAAATTTAGGAATAGATTTTCCCTAAGTAGACCCTTTTGCTTTTGTACAGGCTGAACACAGGAATTGCATGTTGCCATTCCAGTTTGTATCCCAGGGGAAAACAAGCTGTGCTGATGGACTTGTGTGATTTATTGCAAATTACCCTTTGGAAAAGGTTTTGATAAATATAACAAAATCTTAGAATATATTGCAAATAACAAAGGAAAATGTGCACTGTAAGCGAGAAGGGAGCAAAGAGTGGCCTTTTTTGACTGTCACTGAATTCAGCTGTTCTGCAATGGTTTCTGTTTGGGATTGTATTACTCTTGTACATTAGATACCAGTAAATAATAGTTGTTTTTTTTTTCCCCTCACAATAGATATTAGGCTGAAAGTATTATTTCAAGAAGGATACATGGCATTTTTTTATTTATACTGATGAACAATTTTGTTGCATTAATACTTAGAAAACTTTTTTTCCTCCAAGGATCACCACAACTGTTTCATGCAGCATGGATCTGACTAAATATCCAATGGATAAGCAGACGTGTACTTTGCAACTGGAGAGCTGTAAGACACATAGTTCTTATTGTTTTATACAATTAGAAAAAGATCTGTGATCTATTTCTGCTAGATATTGCCAGAGTGGCTGGAATATCCATAGAGGGCAAGGGATGTTCTGTGGCCATTCCCTGTTGAGTTCCAGTGGTATCTGTGTGCAAAGATGTGTGTACAGATGTGCACATGGCATCACTGGGAATAGCATGGCAGTGCTGAACTGCTGCAGTGCTAGTTAATGAGAGAGCAAAATCCTGTGAGATTCTCACAGGTTTGGTCTTGCAGTGCATCCTGCAGTTACTGTCTTGGTCTTCAGAGGGAGTTCTGTGAGCAGGCATTTTCTAGCACAGATGAGAATTTTTTCTTCCCCTTCAGAGAGTATGTAATTTTTTCCTGCTGAGATAAAATTACTTTAGGAAAGAAAGAAATCAGAATAAGGCTTATTTGTGAGGCATATAGTTCATATTTCATAATTTACTGTTTTCAGATCTTGCTCTGACTTATTTCATTATGTCTCTGTATCAGTGCCCTGGTAAAAAATGTGATCAATTGAAGAAGCGTAAATATATTTTTTTTTCATTTTATCCATCAATATCCTCATATTTTTTTGAAATAAGTCCTCTAATACTTTGTAGGCAAGGTTACTTTGCAAACACACAAATACTCACTTTTTTAGTTAAATGTTTGCTATTATTCACATGACAAGACTCTAGAAAATAATTTTTGCATGGGATAACATAGAAGTATAACCAGTTCTGTAAGACGAAAAAAATATATATAAAATATGTGTCAATATATGCTCAAAATCTTTTGGAAGGCTTTTCAGTAGTTGTCAAGTTTTATTCTGTATCATTTCAGAAGTGTGTGTTGTTCATTTCTTGTTGTTAATGACCAATTAGATTGCCACAAATTTTCATTTTAGACAGAGACACAAAGGAAATGAACCCAAAACCTTCTTCACACAGGCATCCCTCTAGAATAAACAGTTTTATGAGATCAGTTTAACAAAGAGTGATTTGAATTGGAATTGAGATTTGTCTTTATCTTCTTTTGGAAGAGCATATTGGTAAATCAATGTATATAGATTTAAATCAACAGCACTGCCTAATGAGTCATTTAGTATTTTCTTTAGTTCCAGAATGAAATATATGTCCCACAGGAATTTACAATTTATTTGACAGGATTAAAAAAAAATAAAAAGGAGAATTCCCCATATAACTAAACCCAGGCTTTTTTCACATTGATTCCATCTGCTTTTTCAACAGCACACAAGTGTCTCCTGTCCAAGGGGAAAACCCAGTCATGTCACAACAAATGCTCCCATTACTTTGGTGTTTAGTTTTGAGGAAAACAGATAGAAGTAAAAAATACAAAAAGGAAAGAGTGTATCTTGGGCTGTGGCCTTTTCTCATCAATGCACTGCAATATATTTTTTTTGGGGCAGGCTGGAAATGGGGTTTGTTTTCCCTGTGATAAGCTATGCTAATATATAGATGAATAATGTCATCATCCTGCTAGGATGCTGCTTGCCAAGACCATTACCTGGGTTTAAGAATTGTGAATGCAGACATACACACACATCTGCACAAATATTGATGCTTATAAATAAACTGTAAAATCTATAGCAAATATTTGAACTGAAACAAGAGTTAGGCTTTTGTTAAGTGATTATTAATATAAAGATAAATATGTCATGATATGATGAAGTAATAGCTTTACAGAATAAGGCATCCCCAGTGACCTTTCCAACATACTTTTCTGCTATTGCTAGTTAGTAACTTTAATTGACTTGTACTTTCTACATAGCAAAACACATTTTGGCCAACATGTTATTGTTTTTCCCAGCCTTATTGCAATACATTAGAAGCTAATGCTGGCATTTGTTGGAAAGTAGACTTGGCACTCTGAGTCCCTGTTGATGTGGGTGCTGTGACTTTGGGAAAGTGGAGGGCTCCTGCCTTGGTTGGTGCTGCCAGAAGGGGTTCCTGCTCTCTGCCATGTGGCAGGGAACACTGCCATTCATCCTTGCTGGGCTGTAGGGTTTGTCCTCACATTTCCCTCACATAGACCCCCAGTCCAAATACATATTCATGTCTTGGGCCCATCTCTGAAATTTTGCTTCCTTTTGAACTTGTCCTTTACCATTTATTCAGTGAAGAGCCACGTGAAGGCACTTAACTTGTGCTTGACAATCAGTGAAAATTAAAATTAGCAACAGAAAGGTAAAGAAACTAATTTGTATTAGGCATTATGAATGTTTAATCCCAAATTTACTATTCCTGTAGTTAACCATATTGACATTAGCAGCTCATACTCTATCAACAATGGACAGGAATGAGACATTCTGGGCTTGAGGAATTAGCTGGATAGAAACTCAGAAGTAATCTCTATTCTCTTTATGTGACACTAAAAGCCAAATAACATGGGTTTAAGGATTTTGTCTCTATAAACTTTTGAAATGTTTTATAATTAGTAAAATATTAATCCCTTGAATAAAGAGCAACTTTGCACAGAGGGAGCACTGTACTATTTAACTTTACTGACTATTGGGAAGGCTCCCTCAGTAAAAATTCTTCTTAAGAGTTTTGGAATTATTATGCTAAAAGAATTTTCATAGGAAGGATCACCCAAACCTACTAATTGTTCCACTAATGAAAATATTTTGGAACAAAAGACAAATAACCTCTGTTTCAAGATATGCTTCTAATCATTCATGTGGGCACCAAGAACTTCTTGGAAGGCTGAATATCTTATAAAAACAAAAAGGAATTTACTGTGGAACTCTCTAGTTCTTTGGACTTTATTTAAATGTCTGCAGTTCATTTATACTGAAAGGAAGTGAAACAAATCCATGGCCGGAATCATGCATAAAAACTGGTTATATGAGCCTCCTTGTTTTGACTAAGGACAATGCAATCATTTGTTTATAGAAAATGTTACTTCAATTTTACATCTCACAAATCTGGGAAATTTCCCAGAATGTGGTTTTAGGGAATTGAAAACTTAGCTTGGATGTATATGCTTTTGGCTTAGTCTTTTGACACAAAAGTGTTTTGGCTTTGATTGCTATAAATGTGATAATGGGAGCAGAGATTCCAGGCCATTATGCCTTTTCATATAACTGCCAGTGATAGTGAAAACAAAATTTCATTTAAAGAATGACCAGAGAATGCATTTTCAGGTGAAATTGTCATTTAATGGATAACTAGCCCAGTGTTTCCTTACAATAAAACTTATGAACTCCTTTTTTTCCTGCATGAGATGGCTGGAGAAATCAGTTCTGTCTTGCCATTGCAAGACAAAACCCCAATAACTTAAAAATATTTAAAGGCACTTTTTTTTTTTGTTTTAATGCATCTGGTTTTTTTCTGTGACTCTAGAGCTTTGTTAGTTTTGCTGCATATACCCTTGTGCAAGGTATTGTATTATTGTCTCACTGTAATTTATTTTCAGGTGACTGAATTCTAAAAATAATCATCAGCTCATATTTCTGTTCCCTAAGCTGAGCTATTAACTTGCACAATATAAATCTGTCAAATACAAGAATGATTGATCTAAGTAAGCTAAAGGAAAAAGATGTTCAAATGCTCCCTGTTAACATGTAAATTACATTAACATAATTTTGAATTAATCATATACACTAGTCTGTAATGTGGCTGCATTTTATATAATGGTAAAAAGCTACAGAGGTATTTTAGCTATGATTGTGCTGCACATTGACAAGTGTGTGCAAAACACAGTTGCCTTCTGATAGATAATTCATCCAGCTCCTAATTACTGCTTGAAGGTTAAGAGGGAGCCTCCTGGGGCCCCTGAAGCGTGCCATGCTGTTGAGCCTGCAGAAACATCAGCTTCTAAGCTGGTGTCCTTGGCAAGTATCTGAGCTCCTCAGCCAAAATCTTGTCCCAAGTGATGATTCAGGCTCAGGCTGGAGCAGAGCACCAGTGAGCAGCAGCTGTGCTGCTCTCCTCATCCCTCCATCTCTATGGGAATGAGGACCAGGGCACTGCACCGAGGAACAGCATCGTGGGATGCAACACATGGCACGTTTCATGTCTAGTCAAAATGCTGGCAAGTGCAGTAATTCATAAAAGCTCTATTTGCTTAGATCCTAGTAGACTTTGCCTTTCGAATACCAGGTGGTACTAATCTATTTTATTAGTTTGTCATTTTTCCTGAAATAGAAGATATAAAAAGACCACCTCCAAAAACCTCAGCTTTTAACTTGGGAGACTTTGCATGGTGTTGGAAGTTTTGTTGTGAACAGGCATTACAAGCTGCCAAAACCCATCATTATTTATGTCTAATTGCACTTTCAGAAATAAGAAACAGCTGAACCATAAGTGTGCTCAACACAAATTAATTATTGTGCAAAATAAACACTGTTGTTGGCCTGTGTCTCACTACAGGGGGTTATAACATCAATGATGTCATGTTTTACTGGACCAGAGGAAATGATTCAGTTCGAGGTTTGGACACTCTCCAGCTGGCCCAGTACACAGTAGAAGACCACTTTACCTCTGTAACTGAAGCTGTGTATGAGACAGGTAAAACACCCCTAAAAACACTTTGTGGGTGCAGTTTGAACTATGGCTTTGGAAAGAGAGCAGCATTAAGGACCTGAGCACACTGCTTTCTGTTAGGATTATGGTTTTCATGTTCTAATAATTACATTCTTGAAGCTGTAAATACTTTTCAAGTTACAAGCAGGGACCAAGCTAATATAAAGACTGAGCATTTTCTTAGAGGCTACACATTAACTAAAGAATTATAAACAAGAATCTACTGCTCCTTCCATATGTCAGGGAGAGCTCTTGTGAAGGAAGAGGAGCATGCAATTGGGCATTTAAATTAAAGACAGACCAGGGAGCTTGGGATACCCAGCTCAGATCAGCCATTCTGGCTTTACAAGGCAAGTCAAAAGCCTCTATTCATCTCTGGAAATTCCAAGAATATGCTGTGTGCTTTCACAGCTGCAGGAATTTGAGTTCCATGGCTACTGCTTGTAGGAGTTGCTCAGTGCCCAGGCTGGTGGCAGCAGGAAGGAGATTGCTCGACCTGAGGTTCCTGTGCCCAGGAAGGGTCAAGGGGTATTTCCACAGACCTGCTCCTCTGCTGAGCTTAGGAAACTGCTGTAAAAAGTTTCCCCTAAATGCAGGAATTAACCTCAGGGAACAGTGTGCTCTTGTTTACTTTCCAGAGATTTTGAAAGGGATTTCAGAGAGTTCAAGACCTGTAAAACCTTTTTGTTCTTTAAGTTACTCTCAGGTCCTTCATTGCTGCTCTTCACTGTGTACCTGGTTTCTCTTCTGCAAGTCAGCACACCCACACAAGGGTGTGATCTTTAAATCAAGACACACACATCCTTCAAAACTGCAGTTTCACCAGAGGACATTTCTAATTCTGAATCACAGAAATATAGTTTCTCTAGTCCATTATTGGGTATTTCTGCTTTAATTACACAACACAGAGAAACTTGTGATCTAATTTCAGGTATTAATTCAGGCTAAAAAATTGAAGTTCTCTAAAGGGATGTAAAAGTATAAATTAAATACATACCAGCAGGCTCAAGGATCACAGAGTTTCTTGCTAGTTATATAAGTGACATCTGCTTGCCTTCCTCTTTACAGCTTTGGGTAAACAGCATCAAGTTCAGTCAAAGAATAATCCTTAACTACTGTTCTGCCCAGAAGGGTATTAGGATCTGTTCACCATACACGAAAGTGGAAGAGGAAACCTGCTTATTTCCTATCACATTCTATCACACAATCAGTAGTTTAAAGACAAAAACTTTGGTTGTTTTGTTTGTTTGTTTTGGTTGGTTTTTGGTTTTGTTTGTTGTTTAACTAAATTGACTAAAACAAATTTCCAATTAGAGTTGAAGAGGTATCAGATGAACTGTACTCTTCTTCTGGTGAATCATGCTGTCTTCCTCCCTTTGTGTTGGCAGGAATCATATGTATAGGTCAAAAGGCACTTTTTGTTTTAATTACACATTTTAAGACACACAAATTAATTCAGTTAAAATTTCTCACACCTGTTTGTTCCAGATCTCCTGTTCAAGACAGCCATGTTATCAAATGCTATGCAGTGCTTCTACAATTTAATCCCCAAATCCTCTTAGTCTTCTATTGAGTAATTCTTAACTAGGTGCTATTTTCTACAGTTATTTTGGAAAGCAGTGCTTACTGCAGGCCATATTAAAAGAAAAAAGCAACCAGATTATAGAGCTGTGTAATCAATTTTGAAATGAAAAATTATGTTTTGCATTTCTTCAGGGCCATTATTAGATATGAGAGTAGCTTATAAATAACAATAACATTATAAATAACAGCTATTTATAACCACTACAATTCAAAGGGCTATAGCTAAAGTTATGAGGGAAGAGCTGTGTGCAGTATTTCCTAGCACAGCAAAAAAAGCAATCAGGGTTTGATACTCTGTGAACTTGAACAGGCAGTACAGCTGCAGTGCAAGTGAAATATTGTACAGCAGTGCAAAACCCAAGTTCACGTACAGCCACAGACAGAGCCAAATTTAAAATGCAGTCAGCAAAATTCCTGCATAAGTAACTTCAGTAAATTTAAGAAAAGGACACTGAGGATTAATCTTGTTTGTAGAACAGCATGTATCACATAATAGTAATCACATTACTGTAATCACATAATAGTAAGTCACTTTGAATGATGTTAGCTAGATTTCTGGCTAGCATTTGGTGTTGATTTTGTTTTGGTACAGAACAATTTCATTTTGGACATGGGTAATTAAATTGCTAGGACCATTTCCTACATGTCTTTAACTATAGTCCTCATTCTTTGTACACTGATAAACTCTTGGACTCCCAAACCATATTATCTACATCAGTGGGTGCTACGATTTTATTTTAGCTGTCCAGCCAACACCACCTGCATTCTCAAAGTAATAAATACTAATATGAAAAGCTTGCTTTTCTTATTGGAAAAACATAAAAGCAATGAAGAATGGTTACAGTCTAGCTTTTTGTATAAATAATCATAGAAATAAGGCTGAAATACATTTTAAAAATTCATTTAATCTATTCTTGTGTCACAAGGCAAGGTCATCTATATCTGCAGCCGACTTCCTGACAGATGTTTCTAGGAGTAAGTCAGACAAACCTCCAAAGTGTCTGCTTCACAGCCTCCCTCAATGATTTTTTTCCTGGTGTTTATTACATGCATATTTTCCTCATGTCTGATCTTGATCTCCCTTGCTGCATTTCAAACCCATTATGGGATATTGAAGACAAATGTCCTGCTCTTTTTTCAGCAGCCTTTTCACTGTATCAAGACTTATATATCTTTTCTCAGACCAACAATTTTCCTATTTTTTAATTCATGTAAGAAATTTTCTAGATATACTGTTTTTGCTATTGTTCACCCATTGAATTTTCATCTCTTTGCTGGTATGCAGCACCCAAAAATGGGTTCCCATTAGATATCCCCTGAGGATGGAAGGGTTTACTTCATGTGCTTCATGAAATCTATTCCTCTTTAAGCATTCTAGGCTGATATTTGCCTTTTTTTGCTGAAAATTATCATGCATTTTTGATTTTGTTCAGCTAGTGATTCCTCTTAGTTCTCTGACTCCCTTTTTGCCCTGTAACCACATATTTCTGATCTCTGGGAGCTGGTGATTCCCATCTGAATGCAGGACTTCATAGTTGTTGAATTCCCTTGTTTTACTTAGGTTGTAATAGTTGGTGACATAGTTTTGAACTCCAGTCCCATTCTCCAATGTGCTAACTCCACTCCTAACACACTCATGGTATGTCATCATGTTAGGGAATAGTTTTGGGCACAGGACATACCCTATGTATTCCCACTTGATAAATGCTTCTATTTTCACAGCAAGCGATAAATAAATAATCTCAATTTCCATTTTTAGTCAGAGAAAGAAGCAAAAACATAATTTAAGACTTCATGCTAATTGGCTGTTGATAGCCTTTTTCCCAGCATCTTTCCTCAAGTCTTGCACCCACTGCTCAGCCCTCCTGTCAAGTCCTTGGCAGCAGCAGGAAGGAAGAGGCTCAGCTTGCTCAGGTCCAGTCTAATGCTGAGCCTCCAGCCCAGAAGGCAGGAGAGGCATGGCAGGCAGGGCTCGGTGCACATCCCCACTTGGAAAATGTCAAGTCAACAAACTGGCATATTCAAATGGCATTATTTTGGCAGAACAGAAGGAAAGAAGAGACAGAAGCATAAATTAAATCTCTGCTCCTTGATGCACAAAGACAAGATATTTGCTCTCTTAAAAAGGCTGCAAAAGGAGCTGGCTGCTGTTCTTGCCTGCAGTCGCTGCCAGGGTTTTGATGTTTGTCTCAAATCCTGCTTTATCCTCCTTGGGCTAGAGGCCCCTCAGACCTTGTGTGGTTGTGCACTGCTAAAGCTCTGTGGTTCCCTGGTCACTGCCTCTTATCAGCCTCTTGGGGGGATGTCACAGCTAAGGCAGGGAGGAGTTATTCTCATTTATAATTAGTGATCTGAAATCAAAATGTATACAGACTATATATAGTTTATATAAAGTTTGTATAAGAGAGTATGTTCATCAGTCACAGTCTCTTTCTAAATAGAAGCACTCCCTTGCTTTGTCCTACAGGCTCATCTGCAATTTCCCAAGATTATTTAGTTAATAATCAAGTTTTTCTAGGTTTTTCGGTACTTTTCCTTTTGCGGTATGAGGCACTGAATAACTTCCCCCGTTCCCTTTATCAGTTCTTTTATTGTCTGTAATTTCTCTCCAATTGTTACTTTGGAGAACATATTCTTTGCCATACAGGGCTCACAAAGAATCTCAGAGCTTTTCAGTAATAATCTTACCTGGTGAGTCTTCAGTCAGCCTCAACCTAAGATTCAAACAATTACCTATGCACATCTATCTGTTATCATGTTATGTTCAATTTACTTCTCTGAGCTCATAGCATCCCTCTTTGTAAAGAAGCTTTTCCACTTGAGTTGATGTTTTCCATCATGAGTTGTTTCTGAGATACTTCTGTAATGTAGAACAGTTTAGAAAGAAAACAATTTTGGAAATTTTGAAAAAGTTACAGTAACATAAACCCATATGGAAATGCAATGAATTGAAAGAATATCAAGGAAATTAGGAAGCTTTTTTTTTTTTTTACCTCCTCTGCATTTCTTTTTGGCATAGACATAAATACACCTCAACACTTGGAAAACTTTTGGTGGCATAAATTTTTTTCTGCTTTCGTTTTTTATTTTTTTTTTTTTTTTTTGGTAAGCTAAGTGGATAAATATACATATACACTACATGAAAGGGTTTGTTTCATTCTTAGAAAATCTGAATTTCAAACTTATTTTTTGTAAAGTATTTTCATGAAGTTGAAACACTTGTTGAGAAGCCCAGCCTGAACTTTCATTTCCTTTAGTTCACCTCTGAAAAGCAAGTAAGAAAAGGGGTGGCTTGTAAGATTTAAACTATGAAGGACAGAAGAAAGTTTTTTCTTTGGGGGGGGCAAATGAGGTGTAATAGCATATTAACAATTTATTATTGGCATCCTTAGCATTCTGCAGCAGTCAGAGGATTTCATTTCAGTTGCACAACTTATTTATCTTGTAAGTGGGGACATTCTGATTACTCATTACCTATGTTCATTATAAACAAGCAAACAGCAAAATTGCATACTGAAAACTACATTTTCAGTGTATACTTAAACCAGTAAAATCTATTTTAAGCTCTCCTGTCCTTTGCCCTTAAAAGATGCAAGATGAGAAGGAAATGATGCATCGGTAGAACTACACTGACATACTTGTGCGAGTTGTACATCACACATTTTAGCAGACACCCAAGGGGTTAGTATAAATAATTCATGAGAGAGAAAAGGATGCTCTTTGTGCCTGGCTGCACACCTCTGTGCAGGACACCAAAGTGCTTCTTACATAAAGAGTGATGTGGAGCAGTCTTTTACTGGAGTAGAGTTCAGCAGAAAGTCCACAGGAAGTGGTTGTGGGGAAGATGGTCCCATCCCAAAACACCCAGAGTGGAAATTAAGAACTGCTGACAGTATTTATGGAGAATCAATCCTTCCTTAGTTACCTCTGCTGGGACCACTCACTGGTCAGAAATGGTGCAGAAAGATCAAAGATGCAACATTCTGCCATCAGCTGGGAACAGATGCCACAGAAAAATAGGATAATCAGAAAATGAATGACCTAGGGTGAAAAGGAGGCTTGTTTAGGGTTTATGTGTTTCTCAAGCAGTGCAGCTGACAGAATCATCAATGGCAAGTCTATACAAAGTGTCTGATAATCAGAACTGTAAATTAGACTATAATGTTAAAAGCCAAAAGCCAAACTCCAATGGCAAGTTATAAAATGACATAAACTAGTTTTTATTGCCTTTAGAAAGATCTGACTCAGACGTAGGCCTAGGCCTGCTCAGCTACTGAGAAAAGCCTGTGCAGGTATAAATTTCATGATGCTTTAACAACAGTGGTCAGCTGGACCTTCTCCTTTTTAGGGTACTCAGCAGTAGAGAGGGTGAGAGTAGGTATGGAGCCTGTCATCTGCTGTTTGGATTTGTCCTTCATCTACAGTTTAGAGCTACTGCCTACTTCTGTACTCCTGCTCTCTCATAAATTCACTAAAGCCTGCATTACTCAGCTGAATGCTCTTCCACTGTGGGTCACCTGAGTGGAATACCTCACCTTGTGGTGTGTTTAGAGTGTATATACTGACAGTCATTTAAGTTCCGGTTCATCTGAGAAATTGTTACACAGAGTAATTCAATACTTTGATAAGTGCTAATGCTGTGCCTTTGCTGCAGTTAGGCATCTGCACAGAAATTATTTCTATCATGTTAACAAATTTAAATTAGAGCAGTCTCACACTGAGGTGACATTCATCATGGGCCAGAAACTAGAAAGCAAAAACATATTTTCATTTTAATGCAAGTATTTTGTTGTCAAGAAAGTGGCAAACTTGACAGTTTTGAGGAGTTAATTTGAGCTGTACTTGAGTTAACTTTAGTAAAGTCAGGACTAGGATTTCATGAAACTGTTTCCATTTTGTTCTGGCTGATGGCACCATGGTCTCAGATGTGCCAGTCAAAGGCAATGAGATACAGAATTACTTTCTCATATGCAGCTCACGCAACAGGAGCAGCAAATCTGTTCTTTTTAAAGATGATAACTTTTGGTAGATGTGTGGTGTAGATGAAAAAAGGACTGCAATATTTCCCTATCTTCATTTTAGCCTATTGCTCATTTCTTTAGCATGATAAGTGTGCACTGAATACTTTTTCTCAAGTACTGATTCCTTCAGTTTATTACAGGAGGAGCTCTGATGATTTCTATATATAGGTTGCTTCAAAATTTCCATTATAAAAGCTCTTCTGAACCCTTTAGAGAAATGCTGACACTATTATTATCATGTCCATGATACGTCTTTGGATTCTGGCAAGAAGAAAGCCTTAAGGTTAGAGAAATGTCTCTTTTTCATTCCCCAAAAAGCCACTCAGCTATAATCAGTTACATCTCTATTTCTCTTTGTTCATATAACCTCAGAAATTTCTGTCATCAGAAAAAATAATAACACCAGAATATTCAAAGGACTTGTCTAAACTTGGAAATTGCAAACTGTGGCTTTAAAATTTGATATTTTGAACTAACTCTACCTGTATGCACTTAACTTTTATGCTAAGGTAAACAGAGATACAGTTGTAGGGCAGTAACAAGGAGAGGGTGTAATTGTATGGCTGTGCTGACTGTGTCAGGGTTTTCCTTCTTAACAACGAGTTCTTCTAAGGCTGAACCTCAGGAAATCCCCAGGTGCCTGTGGCTCCTGCAGGAAGGAAGGTCAGGTCTCTTCACTCCCCTTTGCTGGGCACGTCCTTCCCTGTGGTCACACAGAAGCACAACACAATCAGCTTCTGTGGAGTATCCAGTTCTCTTTCCCTACAAGTGCTTTGTGCTGTAGCCTTTTGTTGTACAGGCTCAGAGCTTTCCCCTTTTCCCTTTGCACTGTGCTCATTTCAGAGCGTGGCTGGGTGCAGACAAAGTAAGGCTGCACAGTCAGCTGGAAGTTTTTCACTCCCTGACTTCTGAGTGCTTTACTTTGGTCTCCATACACTTAAAATCAGTTTTGGTGAGCAAAATGACATCTATTGAAACAACTGTATTGATAAAAGTCACAGCCTTGGTAGACGTACACTGGTGTAATGTCCCTCTTTTCACATAAAAATGTGATAATGGTGTAAAACATGTTTGTACCTCTTGCCTCATGGAGATAATTTAACTGCAATGTTTGTGCCCTTTCTTTCAGTTGGACACTTGAGGATTTCAATATACTGAATTTACAAAGAAAAACCCTAAATACAGTGTATTTTTTACCTTTGGAAGGAGAAAGAATTACCAGAGGACTATTTAGTTAAGTAGGGAAGAGATGGTCAGTGTGGCAGAAAACTGAAAACAAGTTAATATTAGAAATTAGGCACTGATTCTTAGCAAACAGAATTATTTACCAAGAGAAATGGTGTGGGTCTAGATATCCTCAGACTAAGTCTTCATGTCTGTGTGAAAGGTGGGCTCTATTCCAACCAAAATTATTTCGTTCAAAGCAAGGGATGATTAAGGAAATTTGGTGGTTTGTGATTAGAGTCAGACTACATAATCTTGCAATTCCTTCTGTTTTAAAAATCCTGTTATTGTTCTTTTGCTGCAATATATACAGTGCTTTTAAAAATTGAAATTTAGCCATCCATTTTCTCATCTGGGAGCAATAAGACATTTCTTGGCATCCACTGCTTGCACTTCAGGCTTTAAAAAGTGCTCTTTTTTGTATCTCACAGTGCACCTGAGGGATGCAAAAATAGCCTGTCTGTGCCTATATTGCTGTTGCTGAAATGAATTCAGTGTTCTGTAGCTCGGTCCTGACTCACAGCAGGCAGCATTGGAAGCAGATATTGGTGCCAGAGGAGAGGTTTCATATTAAAATAGTGGAAGCCAAAGCTGTTGGGCTACAGAGCATTAGTCTCTCATTGATATTTCACTGGCATGCAAATGGTGTTAAAATTATTTTGTAAAAACTTAATAACACTTAATTTGTAACCTGGAGCTTCAGAACAAGAAATCTTTTCTGCCCATTTAAAAAGCAAGCTGTTGTTTTCCCGTAATGCACTGAACTGATAACAATTTCAGACTGTGTGCTTCAACATAGCCAAATTTTGCTCAGTTAGTGAGCTGGATAAGAAATTCAGGCTTTGCTTATGAGTGTGCTGTCCTCTCATGAGACACAATTCTGTATTTGACTCTGTGATCCCAAAAGTTCATCTTCTGGAAATCACTGACTTAGAAGCAAATAATTTGAGCCACATCAGTGACACTGCTCAGGGCAACACAAACACTCTAATGCACTAATACAAAGGACAAATAGATCACAAGGATGCAAAGATACTGCTTGGATTTAAGTGGAGTGTAAGAGGTAGGTCAGCAATTTCAGAGCAGGTACACTCAATCTGCATCCTGAGCAATAGTAAATGAAAAGAAAAATAAACTGGATATGTGAGATAGTTAAAGGTAAGAACTCATGGCACCTTCATGAAATGATAATCCTTACTCCTCTAGTTTGTACAGTAGCTCACTCGTTGTTATGAATAGTGGCAGCTAAATCCATATGTGATTTCCAATTTCCTTGCCTTGTGCTACATGATGAAACATCATCTTCATGCATTGATGAATTAATTTTTTTCATTCACTAATCCTGGTTTAATTTCCAATTCAAGGTGTCTTTAATAAAATTGGATATGGTGACTGAATGTTACATATTTGATTGTTTCCTTCAGTTCAGAGTCTTCAATGTGAATTTTTCAGTGTTGCGTTTAATTTTTACAAGCTTTTTTGTTAATCTTTTTCCACATTATAGCGCACCAAAGTAATACAGATTGGTATTTCCCAGATCTTTTCATGAATTGCACCTTCACAATGTTTTTTTCCCTGCTCCTTCCACAGGACGTTACCCAAAACTCGTGTTTCACTTTGAACTCAAGAGAAACATCTTGTATTTCATATTAGAGACATATGTGCCATCAATCCTTCTGGTTGTGCTCTCCTGGGTGTCATTTTGGATAAGCCAGTCGTCAGTTCCAGCCAGAATCTGCATAGGTGAGAGGCTGATAAACCAACCCACACCAAGGGCTGGGTGGTTGAGATGCCTTCTCCATCACACGTACTTGGCATCCATGTCCTGAAGCTGCAAACACTTCTGAGTTTTATGGAATTTCTTTCTGGGTTTGCCATACTCAGTGCATCATGTAGATTCCCCTTAAAGCCTCGCTGTTCTTTAATTAAGAAAAATGCCTTTGGCAGATACAGGAAGGAGACTTATAGGCAGGGGAGGCTGCTGAAAGCAAAGTAAAAAGCTGTCATTTTGGAAGTAATTTAAACATATTCAAATACATGGCATGCACAGACAATTGTGAGGCTTTTGTGAGGTCTCACGATACATAATAATTAACACATGAATAACAAGAGAATTATAAGAGATTAAATATAATTAATTTCAAAGAAAGGGTATTCTGAAAGGGAAAGAATGCAAATCAGGTTTGATCAGGCTGCAGGTGGGATGGAAAAAATACTCCTACAGAACAGGGAATAAAGAAGGATTTCACATTTAATGAGGCCAGTGGGCAACTACCCTGAGCAAAATGATATCTGAATATTTTAAAGGGACCTCTTGCATAGATTTGCAATAATAATGTGTTAATCATAATTATACATTCTATGACACCAAAATCTCTCTCATTTTAATTTCTAGTCTTCTTAGCTTTGCTAACATTTTCTGTTACTGTTTTTACTCATTTAACTTAGGAGTCATAAGTTAATTTTAAAGTCTTCTTACTAAAACATGACCCATTAAATGCTGTGGCATCCTAGGAGTTTCAGGTCCAGGGAAAGCTCTCCTGCAGTAGAGGCCCTCAGTGCCATTTGTGTTACACTAGAACATATATTTTTCCATTCCATAGGTGTCACAACAGTCCTTACAATGACAACACTGATGATGGGAGCCAGGACTTCACTCCCAAATGCTAATTGCTTTATTAAGGCAATTGATGTGTACCTTGGTATCTGCTTCAGCTTCATCTTTGGAGCACTGTTAGAGTATGCTGTGACTCATTTCTGCACTCTGCACCAACTCAGCTCAAAGGAACTTCCAAAGGTAAATTATTTGCTGTTGTCCTACAAACTGGATTTAAATTGCATCTGCTAAGAATGAATTATCTTAGCACTAATGGTAAATGTATTTAAGGTAGTTTCTCTTTTAGAATTAGGGCAGGGAAAAAATAATAATCTTGAGAAAAAGAAAAAAAAAATATTTGTATACCTGGAGCTTTTTTGGAAGAGATGAAACAAACTGAAGCAATCTTCCTTCTCTCTTTGGATACGGGCTTTATGGCCATTTATAAAATGTTTTGGATGTCTCACAAAAATCACAGGCACTTCTTGTCTCCCCAGCAATAGCATTTACTCACAGTTCAAACATTGGGCTGAGCTTGGTGACTTGATCCTTCAGCAATATGGAAAAAAAAAAGAGTTTGTAGCATTCCATTTATGAAACCTGCACATGCATGGAACCTGAGTCAATCTCCTGGCAGATGTCTTCATGTTCTGGGTGTATCAGCTCCCTGTAGCTTTCTGCTCTCACCTTCTTTTTCAGCAGCTGCACCTGAAGTCAGACAGGGATCCATTTTCCCTTCTGAATCATTATTATAACAGTGCTTTTGTGGCTCTAAAGAGTTTCTCACAACTCTGAAATGCTGTGAAATATACTTAAAATAAAAATATATGAAAACAACATAGGTATTTTTTGAGTCTGATGGTTGCTGAAATAATGAGGACAGGTTCATGAAGAGGTTTTGTCGCATCTTCCATCTTCAGTGTATAGCAGTGCTTTCATAAGCAGAGAAAAATAAATCACTAGGAAGCTGAAAGATGATTGTCTTGCAGCTTTTAATTATGGAACTGAACCTAATATGCATGATAAAGAAAATTTTAAGCAGCTTATGAAATTTTGGATTAATAGAAAAAAGTAAAACATGGAAAATGGGAATAACAGGAAGAAAAAAAAAAATGGTGGAAAGAAATTTGGTTGAGTGCTGCAGGGATAAATGTCCAGAAGAAGAAAGATTGTTAACTGTTTAAGCCAAATTAGAACAGAGCATCACAAATGCCTAAACAAAGCTACTCAATATACTCAAGAAACAGGATATTGAGCTCAAATGGAGGAGCTTCAAAAGCTTTTGAAGATCAGGCAATATGTGAGTGGGGGCGGTTATGTCTAGATAGTTCATCAATTAATATGAGATTTTGGCTGTTTGGATGAAAGATCCTATAAATGCACAAGAATATTTTAGAAGGTGTTGGGTCTAGGTGTGTGGAGAAAGACTGCAAAATAGACACAAAGCTGAGCCACCCCAGTGGGCTTTATGAGATAATGTCTATCAGGAGATTGTCTGCAAATGGGCAAACACTCATTTCAAGTGATGATTTGAGTGTAAAGCCTATAAGCAATTTTTACTGGCAAGGTAACATCAGTGACAATTCCCTGTGAGCATATCCATCTTGTGAAGTAAGTGGTTGTCATTTTGCTCATAGTGTACAGAAAAAAAAAAAAAAAGCTGCTTGGAGGTTTGGGTAAGAAAGTAAAGTGTTTCAGTGCTTGGATGATTAAGCATCTTCGGTTCTGTGAAGGGCACTTATACTGCCCTTGCCTTCAGCTGCCTCTGTCACATTCCCTTTCATCTGGAGCAGGTACTCATGCTTGCAGATGGGGTGGACATGGGAACTTGCAGACTTAAAAAATGTGCATGGAAGTACGTGGAGGTACAGCTGTAAAATCAGAAAGGAAAGTTTTGTGATGAACTTAATGACCATAAAAAATAGACTTTCAGTTCAGGCTTGTTTCCTGCCTTCTGCTGGGTATCAGGAGTGAGCAAGCAAGCAAAATGCACTTCTTGCTCACACAAAGATAGGGATATAAGAGAAGGAGCAGTTGTTTGGTCCTAGATCAGCTTGCAGCTTTGTAGAATAAGGGACGTGCTTGTCATGTCCTTTTCCTACTGTAGCCAAGGGCACGCACTGCTTACTGATCAGGGTGTCATGGAGAGCACACCTGACTTGTATTTCTTATTTCTTGTTGTAAAAACAAAAACATCACAAGGGCAAAAATACCAGCTAAAATATCTGTCGGTGTCTAGCAGGTACTTAGCAAATTATGTGTGAGTGTCGTCACTGTAAATGTGTTGTCCTCATTATCGTATTCTCTTGTGGACACAGGTTAATTGGAAATCTCACGTCCCAGTTTGTTATTCCCATATGCGAGCTGATGGAAAATTTGCACTCAGAATTATGTAAATAAATGTAGGAGGTGAAATGGAAATGTCACCTTCTCTCTTGTATAGGAATTAGTTGTACTCACTTGCTTCCCACTTTGCTCTTTGAAGAAGTTGGGCACCAGCATATCAAACCCTTCTGAAGCCCCTGAGATCTCCAGTTTAGAACATCAACTGGTGAAAAGAGCTCATCATATCCATGCTCTTGCAATGTTTCACATGATGTGAACCAGGACCCACAGAGACACCTTCAAAGCTAATGGCAAAAGCAGAGGAACCACCTGCTGCAAGGGAGGTCAGGCAGAATTCACATCAGCTCCAGAGCAACAGGCTGCTGCAAAGGAGAGGTTGCCTCTCCTGAGTTTCTTCTCTTTTGTACAAAGGGATTAATTGTACCCTCTTATAAAGCACGGAAATATTCCTTGGGTTTCCTCTGTGTTTTACCTGAACCTCCACTGTTAAGGCAGAATGGAGAACAGTTTGAAAACTGAAAATAATTTTTAAATGTGATGTTCAGCCTCTGTGGTATTTCTGTGGAAGCCTCATGCAGTGTTTATGAGCACTACATAAGCTCCAGGTGTGTAACACTGGGTTGAAATATTTTTAAACTTGAGCAGCTTTATCTAGTGAAAGTGACAACTTTCCTCAATTCTGTTGGCTCTTGAATGTCAGCAAACACTCCACTTAGTGCAAACAGCAGCCCCAGTATCAGGTGACATAGGCTTTTTGGGTGATGTACATCATATTTCCTGGATGGTACCGATTTGGTATCTAAACAGAACCCTCCTTAGTGCCAGCTGCCATTTCCTCATTGACAGCTGGCATCCAGAAAAAAACCTAGTATGACATTTAAAACTGGAGCCACAGCTGAACACTCACAACACAATTTCTTTTTTTGATATAAGGTAAACCGGCTCAGTCTTTCATCATGCTCAGTTCTTCATAACAGTCTGGACAAAGTCCCTAGATAAACCCACTCTATAAGACTGCAGTTTTTTATAAATTAGCAGGTATGGTTCTCTTCTAGACTAGGTCTCTCCTTTCCAGGCTATGTGATACAGCACTTTTGCTGTAAACTCCCCTCTGTTGTATAAGAGCCCTGCCTTGTTGCACTGCAGATAGAATCCTGTACATATGCACTGCTTACGGTATTTTCTGCTTAAGTAAGAACTGCCCCTTGGGGAGCTGAAAGGAGTCAAGAACAGCCTCATAACACATCAGCCTCCTGGGAATCGCTCACACACAGTTGTGAGAAAGGAGAAGTGGCACGTACACAATGTCCTTTCATGCTCTGAAGTAAAACTGATTCTGAGCAACTGATAGCCAGCCCTACCTGAGAGAAAAATAGATTCTTAAACTGAGCAATGCCCCAAATCCTGATGGTTTTGAAGTACAGATGTCACAATGGAAAATGAAAGCAGGGGAAAAAAGTCAGGACTCTTCTGTCAGGTTCCTTTATTTTATTAACTTTGGAAGTGCTGAGTACATTCATTAGGCTGTTGCTCCGATGCCTCATTTCAAGTGCCAGGCACTGCTGACAAAGACTCCTCTGCCATTGCCAGCACTCAGGGGACTCAGCTGCCTGAACTTTTTGAAGCAGGAGAGAGAGATATTTATAAGAGAGTCAGGCCTCAAGTAAAAATTTGTGGTGTGAATTTTAGTACTACCCTGGGGATTATTTAAGGTTTAGACTGGAGTTTTATGGATTGATCCTCTTAATGCTTTATAAGCAGATTTTTGTCCCAGTCTTTTGCAGACGCCACCAACCCCACAGGGAGAAGAACAAAAACGCTTTTGTCACAGTATATTTAGAAGAAGACACGGTGTGGAGAGATATGTCTCTCTCAAAAAAAAAATACCCGTTTTATTGTTTTTTCTTTTTTTAACTGGAAGTGGAAAGCTATATTAATCCCTTTTCTACTGCCATTTGTTCTGCTTCACTGATTCACAGCAATTTGAGGACGTTGTCCAGACTCCACTTTAATTTTCAAGGGTGTCAGTAATTTTAGATGAAGAAGACAGGACTTGTGCTGTACACATGCACCCTGGGCAGAAGAGCAATTCTGTACCAGCATGGAGACATTTAGGTGGCTTAATTGGCTTTCTTTAACTTTAATAGCTGGGATATATTTAAATGAGCTTTTTGTCTGGCTGCACATGGGGATGTACATCTTAACCTTTCAAAAGTTTGTCCTTGTGTAAACTGTTCTCATGATGCAAATGGAAAAAAGCAAGTTGATCAGAAGAAAGAGATTCTGCATTCTATACTTCACAAATATTATTTTTAGACTTGTCTTACATTTATGCCACCTACTGATTTGGGAGGTAATAAAGCTATCAGAAGAAAATAAAAATTATATGTATGCCTACCTGAGTTAAAATGACCCCTCCTCAAAGTATACGTAATAAGGCTTAGTTTAGATACAAAATTGGAACCAGTCTTTGTAGCTTGTTTCTGCTGGTGTCTCTGCAATATCCCAAGTCAAACTGAATACCCCAGAAATTCCAAGGAAATTTTAGAGCTGAAGCTGCAGCTGATGTCTAATCCTGTGTCCTCTGAGTCAGTAACAGAAAACCCAGTGACTTCAAAGGGTGAAAATTTCATACATGGACTATATGGCTCTGAGCCATTTCTAATCAGTGAAACAAAACCCACCAGAAGGCTTACACAACATTCTCCAAAGACCTGTCTTCATGCAGTCAAGCCCATAAAAATATTCTTAGCCCTAGCATAACTTTGAACTTAAAGCATGTGTTTCAGGGCTCGACAGAAGGTATCACAAGCTATTTAGTATTAAGTCATCTGCAGGTGGGGCTTGTCCCTCTTTATTTTTAAAGTCACTTGATTTTTATCACAGAGCACCAGAATGAAGTAGCCAGTTGCACACAAGGAGAGTGTCTTGTATCCTGGGGTGCTTGATTTGGGGTGCAGCCAGCTCACCTGGCTGGTCTGGCAGCTCCCCCACTCCCTCCATCTCCAGCTGGGGCTTTGCCTTCACATCTGGGCACTAACCTTTGCTGCTATTTGCCCTGAGCAGAAGACAGTTTACTGTTGTGCCTTTCAGGGATTTGCTGCTATCTTAAGTTCCTTGCCCATATTTGAACAAAGCCAGATTTGCTTGACTGTGTTTCAGAAGTTTTTGCTGTATGGTGTTGCTTAAGTCAATGTTTTTCCCATAAATGGAGGCTTTGGGAGCTGAAAGGAGCTGCCTGGTGTGTGCAAGTGCTTGTCCTTGAAGGCAAGGAGTGAGGCATAGGAGGAGTTATAAGAAAAATCCCATTTGCTGCAGCTCTAACGTAAGCAGGTGATGAAACATGCACTTAAGTACCTGCTGCTTTGTTCCCTATCAGATTATTGATGATGATGATGATGAAGAAGAGAAGAACGGAGTCCTGGCAGCAGTGACAAAAAATTGCAGTGCCCCTGACAATACGGACAAGACTGACTCAAACAAAAGCAAAACAACCAGCACTGACAGAAAAAGGGAGAGAAGTCAACACAGTGTGTGTAGTTCAGCAATGTCAGTAATGAAAAGACTTTTCTGTATCTTTGACTGCTTCCATGTTAAAAATCCTTACCACATAGACAACTATGCCAGATTCTCTTTCCCTTTATCATTCATCATAATTAATGTACTTTATTGGGTGTATTATTTGTATTTCTAAATATTTTATTTTGTAATATTAGTTTAAAATTTAGAAAGTGGACATGGGATGGGAAGCTGCGGAAAAATGGAGAAATTACATTTGGATAAAGGGATATAAAAGGATATGTCACCTTTTCCAGTGTGTCTGAAAATTTTGTTAACTCACTTTTCTGCATTTAATTGTCTGTCATCCAAAACTGGCTTCATATTAGCATGCATGTCCCAAACTACTTATCAAAGGCCAGTAAGTCCTTTTTCTAATATTTAATGCTCAAGTTTGTAAAATAAGTGTTATGTTACACTTGTTTCTCAACTCCATTGAATAAATGTAAAAATAAAATGAAATGTTACTTTCCTTTTCTGCATTCTGTACTCAGTTCCTTCTAGTTTTGCCAATAATGCATACATTTTCCAGATTATATAAGAAAATGTTTAATTGCAGATCAAAGTGGTTTTGCTATGTAGCAAGAAACAGTTTTGAAGACATGAGCTACCAACAGAAACAAATAATCTATTCATCTTTGTAAGGTCAAAAATATGTCTTAAGATCCCTCTACATCTTTAGACAGAACTTCCATAGTCATCAATGACTTTTCTCAGTAAGTGCAGGGCAGACTACAGAAATGGACTGGAGCCAAAAGGTTTAAATCCAGAGAGATGTATTTCCCTGAGTGAGGATTTAGTTCATCAATCCTTAATGGAAAATGGCAATTTATCCTGACATTTATACTCTGTACTCTGCCCAGTCACAACTGCCTGGGTAGCTACTATGTAGAGGAAAAAGCTGATATGTTTGATTTTCAGCTTAGTAAATCCTCTTGAACTACATGCAGTTAAAAAAAAAAATTCACATAAAAGCAGAAAACTTCTTGAATAGAAAACTCTGTATGTGTGATAGCTTTTGATAAAATAGGGAAAGTTTTACACAGATAAAATGATGACCCACATGAGAGAATGGTTAGAGGTGATGAAAAACCATAACAGCCTTTCCAAGTGGTTGCTTCACTGACAGATACTACAAACCTGTCTCCTACACTGAAAGCATGGAAATGTAAAGGTGCTCATTATTATACCTTTTTCCTGACCATAATTATGTATGTATCTGTTGCATATGTAGGTATAAATGTGTGCATGTGTTTTATGCACTGTATTTTTGATCATCAGACTCACTGCACACATGCAAATACATTAAAAAGCTCCCCTAGCATGAGCAGACTTGGACACAGCTGATCACCAGGGTGCTGCCTGTGAAGAACATCATTACAGGAAGGAAGAAAGTGCAAAGTACCAGTGTGAGACAGATTTGCCCTTGCTTCCATCTAAATTAATAAAAATCATTGCACACTAGTAGACAACTATTAGGTCACTGAAATCCTCTCAGTATTTTTATTTGCTAAGGGTTGACTACTGAAAATTTGTTTCTCTGCTGTTATTAGTAAGGCCTTTCAAGAATAGTCTTGGTACCTTGTGGCTATTCTGACTTTCATATGAAAGTAAATACATTCAAGAAATAAAATTAAGGCTGCCTGTGTTAATGAGCAACCAAAAAAAAAAAATCTATTATTTAATTTAACATTCTGCTACAGAATATTTAACCTGAAACCCTTTATTCAGGAACAGGCTGTATGATATTTTTTTTCTTGGAGCTGTAAAATCGGACTCTCAGTTTCCAATTCCAAAACTGGATTCTTTCCAATTCTTACTCCCAAAAAATTCACAGAGGACAAATATTAAATCATTGTATTTTTCTTAAATTTGCAGCTTACATTGTTTCTGAATCTTTTCAAGCAGTTACCTGTCACATTAACACTAAATTTGGGATTAACATTTACTGCAAGCATAAAGTAAGCATTTAGTTTTTTAGCTTCCAATTAATTTGGAGACAATTCACCTTAAATATTATTTTTAAAAGCATCTGAAAGTTTGAGCATCTTTATTTACAATGCACTAGCTGAAAACAGAGTCTGTTTTCCCACTGATGTACTAACTGTAAGCAGTGTTATACAATGAAGTCCCCCATATTTTCATGAAAGAATTGACTGCACAGCCAGATAATTAATTATTTTGCTTTGCATAATTATGCATTAACTGCTAATTTCAAAAATAAAACCTGGTTCAATGTGAATAGATTGTAAAAGATGTTCCCAATGGATTTCCAGTGGAGTATATGAAGAAGATAATTTGAATTATCCTGTTGAAACATAGTTTCTGTCCCTAGAAACTCCCAAATCCCTTGGAGTTAGTTATAAAGGCTCCCCTGAGTAAGGAGCATTCATGAACAATTCACTAAATGCTACAACTCAGAGGAAAGTTGGAGAAGGGGAAATCTCCTTCTGTGCTAAGATCAGGGGCCAAAGTTGAGGCTGAGGGAATGAAAATTATGTTGGTTCCATATCAGATGAAAAGACCTTGGACTTTTGGTAACCATTTTCTGGTTGATAGTTGAGTTTCTTACTTTGATTCTAATGTTTTCCCATCAGACTCGTAATTCAGAAATGTTGGATTTTGGGACCACTCGAGGCAGATGTGCAGAGGGAGCCAAGGCAGGTGAAGGGGGTTACAGTGGGAGCTGCTGATCATCCCACGGGGTTTGCCTTGCTGCCAGCAGGACGTGCTCTGCTTTCCTTGGGCCTGAAAGCAGCCAGCCTGAGGAAGAACTTTCCTTCCTTTCTGCAGTGTCTCCTAGCCTGATCTTTTAATTGATTCAGCAGCAATCACATAGCTGTTTAAGCATTGTGCAGGCTAGAAAACCACCTGTTACCTTAGCAAGGTCTTTGATATAGTTTTCTTACTAAATGGAAAAGTATTATGAAAATAAAATCCTATCCTAATATGAAAATAAAATCCAGATATACTATTTATTCTTTTTTTTATATATATTTTAGACATATGAAGGTATTAATACTTGCTACATTTCCTCTTCATCAATTCTGGTGTTCTTCTGATTCACCTATGCTTTAGGCAAGTATCTCCTGCAGCCTGCTTACTGTGGTGCCATTGTGATACTTTGAGAGTATTTGGAATATTTCACCTAAATCAAGAGGGAAATACTAAGGAAGGTAATATTTTAGAACAGGTATTCATTAACATTCTCATAAGCTAAAGAAGGCATTTTAAGTCACTATTAAATTTCTTTTAAGACATGAACAACTAAATATCCCATCTGAATACTGCAGTCAACACATATGGCAAGCATAAGAGAAGGGCATCCATTACTTGATCTGAGTACACATTTTCAGCGCAGTGGCCTTGTTTATTAAGACTGCAGCAGTAACTTAAATAAATTTTCCTGCTTTTTAAGCCTCTTTGGTTTTTTGTACTAATTATTTTAAGAGAATTGTTATGCGTTTTCGCATGGGAAAATACATCAAAGAACAAAAAAGAAAAAAAAAAAGGTGCCCCACGTGGTCACCCTGTAATTCAAAATGAAACTTCTTACCAGACTATAGATTAAAGAGAACCCACGTCCAGTAAAGCTGATGGCAGAGGAACAGAACAGGAGCTAGAAGGAGGTGGATGCTCGGGGCGCTCGGCTCGGCGCGGCGGAGGCGGAGCCGCCGGAACAATTCGCACCGGCAGCAGCAGATGGAGCTCGGTCCCCGTGCGAACGGCAATGGAAATGCTCGTTCAGGAGGGCTCTGGGGAAAACCATTACAAGCTGACATTTGTACTGTGGCAACTAGGTCACGCTTGTAGTGACAGATTAATTAAAGTCAGGCAGGACAGCACTGCCAGGTGGACTGTCTCACAATGAAGCTCAGGCTTCTCAAGACCTGATTGTTGTTTCCATCATTTTAAGCCGCTGAAATCAAACATTTTCTGCCAGTCCACAAAGTAACTTCATGACTGCAATACCTTGTGTTTAAAGCTTGAATTTTCTATCCTTCTGTCAAGCTTTTATATCACAGGGACAGTTTTCTCCTGCAGGTTATAATGTTTCAAATCAAAGCATCTCAATATTTCAAAGCAGGCAGGATAGTGGCTCTATTAACAGTTTCCCTATAAAGATTTCTGAATCCTAAATAGATGTTCTCAAGTAGTTCACTGGCATACTGCTAACAGGTTCACAAAATCAAGATAATTTTAAAAGCCAGTTTCAGTCAAGAAAATTTCCCTTGAAAGAGGGCTGGTTGCAAAGATGGGAAGATGAGCTGTGAGTGTCTTCTGGGTGGATTAATAAGTCACTGCAAGAATGAGCTATCTCAGCCTGAGAGCTGAAAACCAAAGTAAATTCTTGTAGAGTAGTGGGTGCTTGACAGTGCTTAAAGCAGCTAAGCTGGACATAATTTCAAACACTGTAATGGATTTGCCATCACTTGTTCTATAACTTTATAATTAAAACCAGGGGTCTACTTTAATAATATTGCCAAATTCAGCTTTTCATCATTTTCCATCTGGAGAAATCTTTCTTCCCTGGTCCCATCTGACTGTCAAACTTTCCATCCTCAGAAAGGATAAGGGGGTATTCGGGGGCATTTCAGTCTCATGATGTGAGTTTACTCATATAATTTGGGTCCTGGGTTTCTTTCCAAATTGGAATGGACCCTATTTTCCTATTCCAGATCAAACACAGACAAAAGTGCAGAAGACAAGAAACCCCAGAAGATTTTAGCACCATCACATGTATGCATAAACCATGACCCTGATTAATTTTGAAATTCTGCTTTGAAGTTTAATCCAGATTTAACCACTGGATAACTTCATCTGTAAAAACACACAAATATCTCCACTACTGTTGTGTTCCTTGCTGTAGCAGGCAGTTTTGGAACCTAGATAGTGAAAGGGTTTGATGCCAGGTTTTTTTGATTTCTCCTGAACTTGAGAAATTTAATATTTCTGCTTTAAAATCAGATCAGGAATGGATTCAGAGTAGCAGTTCTGGTTCTAGTTGGGGCTTGTCCACTTTTGACTCAGAACAGGATGACAAAATTAGAAAACAGTTAACATAAGAATATAAAATGGAGTTCAAACCTGAATTACATATTGACATGCTCAGCTTGTCAGTGCCCCTGGTCCTCATGTTAAAGTTATTGATGTTGCATCTCAGAAACGGTACCAAAGGTGTGGGATTGGTCACCATGGGCAAAACTGGCATTGCATGCACTCATATACTCTTGGAAAAGAGAGAAGAAGGGACTGTCTCCTCCTTTTCTATGTCCCAGGTTTTTTAGAAGCCAGTTCATTTTGGTCTACTTCCAGTCTTGGTTTATCAAGCACCTGCTTTGAAAGAGTGCCAGTACAAGGTGACCAAAAATGCTGTATTAATCTCCTCTACAGGAGCCATCTGTTCATTGCATGTGTTTGAATGCTGATCCATTAGACTCATGTACCAGAGCAGGCTGTGCATCTTGCTAAGTC